TAATCTTTTTTTAAATTTCTTTATTCAGAATTTAATTATTTTTTAATTTTTCATTTGGAAAAAATTCAATTTTTTGATTATTTTATTCAAAATTTGATTATTTTTCAATTTCATTTCGGAAATTAATAATTTTCTTTCTTATTTTTTAATTTTACTTAGGAAAATAATTATTTTTAAAACATTTTATTCAATAATTGATTGTTTTTCAATTTTACTTTGGAAATTAATAATTTTTCTTTCTTATTTTTCAATTTTACTTGGGAAAATAATCATTTTTTGATTATTTTCCTCAAACAATATTACATATTTGATTCGAGAACAATAAGTTTCTTCAAAAATCACCCTGTTTATTTGCCCCTTGGGTGTCTAATTCATCTCTCTCTCTTTCTCTCTCTCTCGTGGGCTTCGGAGGGGGTGAAGAGAAATTATCCAGAGTCAGCATTTCACCCCTCATTAGTGCTGTAACAATACACATAATTGCTACACGATGATTTTTCTGCTAATCATGTCATCTCTGCCAAATTCCTCCTCCCCCGCCCCAAAAATCACTGCGGAGACATTTTAATCAGTGGAGCTTTAGAGCTTTAACTTTGTGTAATTGCAGACTTGTCTCGCCCAGAAATCCCTTGGAAATCTCCATAATCCTCCAATTCACTGAACATGCCTCCAAATTTCACACTCGAAGACATTTGGCGCCACTCTTCAGTTCCTCCTGAGTCCTTATTCTTCTTCTTCACTCTATTGATTTTGTGATTGTGCCTCTGGATTTTACCCAGCATTCTTTGCCTCACGGAAATTTCTCTGCGATTCTCCGGAATTTCACCTTTTGTTAAACTTTTTGAAGATGAAACTGAAATTGTTGAAATAAAAAAGGAAGTTTCAGCGAAAATAATAAACTATAAACACTAAAAATTAACAATTTTAAGAGTTTCTTAATTTATATCAATAAGATTCTTTAAAATACCTCAAATTCATATTTTCTACGTTATTATTGAAGAAAAAGTATAATTTGAAAAGAAATTCACAGAAATATTCGATTGGAAAATACAAAGAATCTCTTTATTTCTATTTTCTGTTTATTCTTGAGCAAGGAAAAATTCCAAGGGGGAGATAATGCGGCTAAACAGAGTACACAACTTCGAAAACACTTCCAGACAATTCTTAGCGCCACTTAAAAATGCATTTTCCAATGTTTAATCTTCAGAAAATGCTTGAAAAACAATTCTGAATCAATTGTGAGGTTATGAAAGCCGACTTAAGAAGCTTTTTGAGCTAATTTCAACCCTTTTCAACCCCTTTTTACAATGTTTCTACTGGATAATAAAGTATAAATCGCATAAATAACCGAGAAAAGAGGTTAAAATGACATTTTTGAGGTTATGTTTGACTTTAAAACTGCTTTTTTACTCACGAAATGAAACAAATTTGAAGCTTTTTTCATCACAAATGCTCAAATGTGTCAAGAAAATGGAAGAAAATGCTTCGAAAACATGTTAATCAAATTGTGAGGTTAAGAATTCAGCTTGAAAAAGTACCAAAACGCTGCAAAAGATTAAAAATGGCGAATATTACAATGTTTCAACTAAATAATGAGGTAAAATTTGCCATTTTAGGGCACAAATCGCAAAAACAACCAAGAAAAGAGAATTTTCTGAGACATTTTTGAGGTTATGTTTGACTTTTAAGCTGTTTTCTAACCTAATCTTAAGTTTTTTCGAACGCAAATGCCTAATTTTGACAAGAAAAGTGAAGAATTTCCAGTTAAAATACAAATCAACTGTTTTTCACACTCAATTTTGACTTTTTCACAATAGAATCAACTTGTGAGGTTATGAAATCTACTTAGAAAATTCTTCTACGACTAATTTAAATCCCTCCAAACCTTGAAAATGAGTAAATATAGCGAAATATCTCAATGTTTCTACGAAAAAACCGCGAAAAATAACCCAAAGAAACACTTTTCTAGTCTGAAATTCGATATTTTTTGAGGTTATGCAATCATTTCAATACTTTAAAGCATTTTCTCAATTCAATATGACGTTTTTCCGATCCGAAATGCTCAAATCTACAGAGAAAAATAGAAATATTTGCAGTTTAAACAGAAATTTGATGATTTTGAAGGTTATTTTATCACATAACCTCAAAACAAACTGATCAAATTGATTTTTCTATGCAAAATTATTGAAAAATATTGCTTCAATTTATTGAAATTGAAGCTTTTGCGGTAAAAACCGTGTAAAAACCTTTGATTTGTGATTGTGCTTCTGGATTTTACCCAGCATTCTTCGCCTCACGGAAATTCCTCTGTGTTTTCCCAAGAAGACAAACAAACTATAGAATAATCGTTGCAACTTTAAGTTCTCCTTTCATATATTTTTATTTTAATAAACTGTCATAAATGTGATTTCACTAAAAGGCGTTGCAACATTACGATTAGTATATTATATGAATGTGATGAATTTATCTTCTGCGAAATCTGAAATGCTACAAATGTTGCCATTTGATAAGAAAAACCGAAAAATTCACGTGAAAACCACCCAGTAAAAACAGTCCTTATAGGAATCGTGCGGGAATCGTGCCGGATCTTTCTCTATCTCCGCTGATTTTGGCGGAAAAATACGCGGAATTTCGCAATATTTTCACCGGATGATTCCGCTATTTATTATTATGTCCCGGAGATTTTGGGTCTCGGGATTTCTCGGCGGAATTATAGAGGAAAATCGCGTTGAAACTCCAGCAAGGACAGTGGCGGAATTTTCCCGGATTTCCTTGCCGGAATCACGCAAGATGATCCGTTGAAATTCCACCAAGGACGTAAAGAAGCGTAAACGGTGGATTTTTTATGGATTTTCCCGTAGGAATCCTGCTGGAAATTGCTGCAAGGACGAAAAGGACCGAAAACGGTGGATTTTCATAGATTTTCCTGCAGGAATCCTGCAGGAAATTCCACCAAGGAAGTAAAGAAGTGTAAACGGTGGATTTTTTATGTATTTTCCTGCAGGAATCCTGCTGGAAATTCCGCCGTAATTCCTGCAAGGACGACAAGGGCCAAAAACGGTGGATTTGTGCCAGATTTTCCTGTAGGAATCCTGCCGGAATGCCGCGTTTTCACCGTTCTCATCTTAAATAGCGGCAAAGCGGAGGAATCTTGCGGGAGAATTCCACCGCAATTCCGCCATTTGAGAAGAAAATGGCGTAATTGCGGTGGAATTCTCCCACAAGATTCCAGCAATAATTCGTCATGCCAAATCTTTCGTCCCGGCGCTTCCAGCATCTCAGCCTTTCAACTGTGAGGGAATTTGCCTGCAGGATTCGTGGTGGAATCCTACAGGAAGCCTCCGGCATTTGTACGGCCTTTAAAGTGAAGGAATTTGAATTCGGGATTCCTGAAGGAATCTTGCAAGATTCCTCCACCGTTTGTCCTTCAGTTTAGTGAAAAGGGATTTGGCTTTAAGGATTCTTAAGAGGAATCCCGCAGTGTGGACTCCGTTCATTTTCAGATGGTGGATTTGACGGTGGATTTTCCTGCAGGAATCCAGCAAAGCATAATTTGGACTCTGGAGCCAACATGATGGAAAAATCGGTGGAAAAACGGCGGATAGTGGATTGGTTTTTACTGGGAAGTGTCCCTAATCTAAGCATTTGATAAGAATCTTGGAAGTGAAGATTCATTCCGGGGAAGTTTTCCGCCATGCGTCAGCGCATTAACAACTTCCGGAACATCACAAAATGTCTTAAAAGATCTCATCTTGAGATTTCGTCACAATCATGACTAAGTTTTTACGATTCATTGACGGAAATATTGAGGATGAATATCAACATCAATTTCCACTAATAAATCACAATGTTTCAATGTCGATACACAATTGCGATTTCGACGAAGAAAAGAACGCGCGCGATCTTCACTCTGTCCATTGAAGATTAAGAAACAAATTAATTACCACCAATTCCCACACATATCATTGCAATCTGGCGTTGATAATAAAAAGTAATGGTTTTGCCACGACGTGTGATATCGCGAAAGGGGAAAAAAGAGTGACAAAACATCACTCATGCTGTCTCGTTCATCGTCAGCGCTATAGAAAGTTTTAATTAATTGTTTGCGCGCGATAAGACAGTTTGGCGGCGATTTTCGTTCAGTGCACACGCGCACCTTTTGTCCGTTCTCCAACAGGGAGAGATAAAACAGAGTCCAGAAGTGGTGTATAAGTTCAGAAGAAGTGCTTAAGAAGTGAAAGTGTTGAGTAATCTTCAATATTTCTTTCCAAACCATCCAAATTCTCTGAATTTCCTTCGATTTTCACGCAGAAACAAACGTAATAATCTTTTTTCTAGGTTATGTAACGAAACAAGAACAAATTAAGTGAATAATTAGCATTTTAGCACATAAATTCTACCAATCAGTGACAGAATTTAGCATTTGCAAGCAATAAACAGTGCTTTTTTATCCTTTAATGCTAAGAAACACTGCAAATTGTGTTAAAATTCAACATAACCTCAAAAAACAGTCACTTGAACTTGAAAAGTGTTCATTTAAGAAACATTTCTGCATGATTTTGACTTTCAATCAGCACTGATCCAATGATTTAGTCTCTGATTTAGATCTAAAAACCTTCTTAAAGGGAATTTTTGAAGATTTCTGGGTTTTATTTTGAGGTTATGATCAAAAAAGATGTCTAAAAGTGAGTGTTTTTAAATTGAATTCTTACAAATGCACAGAATTAAGCATTTGCAAGCAATTAAAAGTGTTTTTTTTTATTGTTTTTTGCCAAGAAACACTGAAAATTGCGCTAAGATTGAACATAACCTCAAAAAATGACATTTGAACAGCATTCTAGACCATTTTCACAGAGAATCAGCAGTTTTGAGTTCATTGGCAAATCAAAAGTGATGATTTTGTGCTTGAGAAAGCTTCCAAACGAAGTTTTTGAAGATTTCTTAGTAATATTTTGAGGTTATAATTGAAAAAATACACAAAAAAGTGCTTCAAAATCGATTCTTATGGAATTATCAAATGGAAATTTAATACGAAAGTTTTCTTTTCCTTGAATTGGACACTTTTGATGCCAAGAAACACTGAAAATTATGCTAAGATTGAACATAACCTCAAAAATAGTCATTTTAACTTGGAAAACGTCCATTTAGACAAGTTTCTAGACAATTTTTACTGTAAATTGGATAATTTTGTGATCTAAAAAGCTTGAAAACAGGGTTTTTAAAGATCTTTTAGTGATATTTTTGAGGTTATGAGCAGAAAAGATGTCCAAAAACAGCGTTTTGAAGTCATTTCTTATGATTTTTGCAGAAATATCGAATGGAATCTTAAGAGACTTCGAGTTCTAGAAGTTTACAGTTGGTGTACAGCTTTAAGGGCATATTATCTCCCCCTTGTCCGTTCTTCTGTGACGCTTTTCTGGATAAAATGTGGATGATTTCGGATATCAGTGACTGTTAGAAGTGACAAAAAGAAAAATCTGTGAAAGAAAAAAATCTCGATCTCATCACAATCTTTAATGTAATTTGAGTGAAAATGCACAAGGACAGGATTCAGGATCGCTACGAGGACTCCTCGACGTCCGAAGATGAAGAAAACACTCACATTACCAGGTTGGTTTGGGAATCAGAAGTCTAAAACTAATAAAAAAACTATTATTTTCTCAAGTAAAATTGAAAAATTATTAAATTTTGAATAAAAACTAATGAAAAAATGATTTTTTTTTCAAGTAAAATTGAAAAATAATTAAATTTTGAATAAAAACTAATGAAAAATGATTTTTTTTTCTAGTAAAATTGAAAAATAATTAAATTTCTAATTAAATATTCAGAAAATAATCAAAAAAATATCCAAAAAATAAACAGTTTTCAGTCAAATATTCAGAAAATAATAAAATTTTAATAAAATATTAAGAAAATAATAAAAAAAACAATCAAATTTTAATGGAATATTCAGAAAATATTCAAAAAATAATCAAATTTTAATGAAATATTCAGAAAATATTCAAAAAATAATCAAATTTTAATGAAATAATCATAAAAATATCCAAAAAATAATCAAATTTTAATGAAATATTTGGAAAAAAATCAAAAAATAAACACTTTTCAGTCAAATAATCAGAAAATAATAAAATTGTAATGAAATATTCAAAAAATAATCAATTTTTTACTGAAATATTGAGAAAATAATCAGAATTCTGTGTGAAATAATCAAAATTTGGAATAAAATCACGAAATAATCGAGAAAATATGATTGAATGAACTTGCGCGAGTCCCCTTAAAAGTCACTCTCTCACTCTCTCGTCCACTATCAATCGCCTTATCAGGTGTTTCTGTGAAAAATATTGCCATCGGCCGGAAGCAATTCGAGTGCTTTTCCTGATAACATGCATTTCTCGCATTCTTCCGCAGAGCTCCGCAACAGGACACCGAGTTGTGGGACACATTTCAGGATCCGCCGGTCAAGCAGACGACCGGATCCGCGGTGGACACGAAGAAGTTCCTCGTGTTCATCAAGGTCATCAAGGTGATTGTGTACATTCTCGTCTTCCTCATCGTCCTGCTGGGCAGCACGGCGTCCAAGCTGTCCTTCCTCTTCATGACGTCACACATTCTGCCCAGACAGATTCCCTATTGCCATCCCGACCGTGAGTATCTCTGTGAGCGTAAGCCAAAGTCTCCAAAGCCCAAGGGGGAGATAATACAGTCCAGAAGTGGTGTACAAGTTCAGCAGAAGTTCTTTAAGACAAGGGAGAAATCTCAAGGGGCGGTTTTTGAGGAAACTTAATATTCTTTAATGACAATAATCCAATTATTTGCCTAGAAATAATCAAAAAATGATTATTTTCCCAAGTAAAATTGAAAAAATGATCAAATTCTGAATAAAAACTAATAAAAAATGAATATTTTCACAAATAAAATTGAAAAATATTACAAATTCTGAGTAAAACAATGAAAAAATGAATTTTTCCCGAGAAAAATTGAAAAAAATATTCAAATTTTGAAGAAAAAAAACAATTTTAAAAAATTATTTTTTTCAAAGAAAAATATCCAAATTCTAAATAAAAATTTTTTTAATTGAACTTTTTCAAAGTAAAATTGAAAAAATATTCCACGTAAATATTCCAAATTATGAAAAAAAATAATTTAAAAAAGGTTCTTTTCCCAATAAAAATTCAAAAAATAATCAAATTCTGAATAAAAGTATTTCAAAAAATGAATTTTTCCAAAGAAAAATTGAAAAATAATTAAATTTTGACTAGAAATAATCAAAAAATGATTATTTTCCCAATTAAAATTGAAAAATAATCCAAATTATGAAAAAAATAATTGAAAAAAGTTTATTTTTCCAAGGAAAATTGAAAAGAAATTCAAATTTTGAATATAATAAGTTAAAAAAAATGATATTTTCCAAAGAAAAATTAAAAGATATTTAAATTCTAAATAAAATATTTTAAAAATTAATTTTTCCAAAGTAAAATTGAAAAATAAATTAATATTGAATAAAAATAATAAAAAAATGATTTTTTTCCCAAGAAAAATTGAAAAAAATAATCAACTATTTAAATAAAAAAAACAAAAAAATAATTTTTTCCTAAGTAAAATTGATAAAATATTCAAATTTTGAATAAAACGATAAAAAAAAGATTTTTTCCAAACAAAAATTTAAATTTAAATTTATTAAATAAAAGATTATTTTTCCAAGTAAAATTAAAAAAATTATAAAATTTTTTATAAAATAATCAAAAAAATTATTATTATTTTTTCAAGTAAAATTGATAAATAATTAAATTTTGAATAAGATAATTAAAAAAAAAACAAAAAAATAAAATTCTTAATAAAATGATTTAAAAAATGAATTTTTCCAAAATTAAATTGAAAAATAATAAAATATTGAAATAAGAAAAACAAAAAAAATGATTTTTTCCAAAGAAAAATAAAAAAATAACCAAATTCTGAATGAAATATAAAAAAAAGATTATTTTCCCACGTAAAAATGATAAATAATTAAATTTTGAATAAAATTATATAAAAAAAAACAAAATAATAATATTCTAAATAAAATGATTTAAAAAATGAATTTTCCCAAAGTTAAATTGAAAAATAATTAAATATTGAATTAAAAAAATCAAAAAATGTTTTTTATCTTTTTATGATATCTTCTCTGGCAGATAAAGATGGCACGTACGTGGCGGAACTGCCTAAGACGGAGCACTTGACCTGGATCTGGGCCGTTGTCTTTGCCTTCGCCTTCCCAGAACTTGTGACATTCGTCAGAGCGTGCAGAATATGTCTGTTCAAGAACATCTTTCGGCCTGCTGTGCGTCAACAGCTGATCATCACGGCCTTTGAGTGTTCACACGTGATCGGCTGTGCGATCCTCGCCTTCAAAGTCCTCCCACAGATGGACGCCATGAAGGGCGTCATGCTGACCAACTGTCTGTGTCTCATTCCTGCCATCCTGGGCCTCCTGTCGCGCTCCACCGCCGCCAAGGCCTTCCTGCCCAAGATCCTGATCGATCTCCTCGCGATCGCTGTGCAACTCACGGCCATCTTCCTCTGGCCCATCATCGACGGCGACATGTCACAGATGCTGTGGATTCTCTCGGCCAGCGTCCTCATATCAGCTGGCTGGTGGGAAAACTACGTGTCCGCGCAGAGCTTCATGCGTAAGATAAAGAATCTTAGCTGATAAGCACACGCCAAGGGGGAGATAATACGCCTACCTTAAAGCAATTTGAGACCATGAATTTTGTGATTATTTGTGATTTTTAGTCAAATTTTTTAATATTCCATACAAGATTCTGATTATTTTCTGAATATTTATTATTTTTATACAAATTCTGATTATTTTTGCCAATTTTTTCTTGGGAAAAGAAACATTTTTCTTAAAATATTTAATTCAGAATTTGATTTGTTTTTCAAAATTTACTTAAGAAAAATTAATTTTTCAATTTTTTTCATACAAAATTTGATTATTTTTTCAATTTTATTTGCGAAAATAATCATTTTTATATTATTTTTTATTTAAAATTTGACTATTTTTTCAATTTTATTTGCGAAAATATTCATTTTCAAATTATTTTATTCAAAATCTGATTATTTTTTTCAATTATCCCGTGAAAAATAATTATTCAATTTTTTTTATTCAAAATTTAATTTTTTGAAATTTTTTTTTTTTATTTTTTTTTAATTCAAAATTTGATTGTTTTTCAAAATTTACTTGAGAAAATTATCATTTTTTTAAATTCTTTATTCAGAATTTGATTATTTTTCAATTTTACTTGGAAAAATAATAATTTTTTTTTAATTATAAATTCAGAATTGGATTTTTTTTTTGCAATTTCACTTTGGAAATTTTTTTTTGATCAAACAATAAAAAAAAAACACTTTTAATTGCTTGCAAATGTTTATTTTAAGAAGAATTTATGTGCTAAAATGCGAATTATTCACTAAATCTGTTCTTAATTCGTCTACATAACCTAGAAAAAAGATTATTACGTTCGTTTCTGGATGAAAATCGAAGGAAATTCAAAGATATTTCTGCAAAAATCCTAAGAAATGATCCCAAAAACGCATTTTTAACAATCTATTCCGACCATAACCTCAAAAATATCCCTAAAATATCTTCAAAAAGTCTGTTCGAAAGCTTAAAATGATCTTAAAATTGCTGATTCACAGTAAAAATTGTCCAGAAAGTTGTCCAAATGACTATTTTTGAGGTTATGTACGAACTTAACACAATTTTCAGTGTTTCTTGGCATCAAAAGTGTCCAATTCAAGGGAAAGAAAACTTTCGTATTGAATTTCCATTTGATAATTTCATAAGAATCGATTTTGAAGCACTTTTTTGAGTATTTTTTCAATTATAACCTCAAAAATATCACTTAGAAATCTTCAAAAACTCCGTTTTGAAGCTTTCTCAAGCACAAAATCAACACTTTTGATTTGTTAACGGACTTAAAACTGCTGATTCTCTGTGAAAATGGTCTAAATCACTGTTCAAATGTCATTTTTTGAGGTTATGTTCAATCTTAGCACAATTTTCAGTGTTTTTTGGCATTAAACAATAAAAAAAAACACTTTTAATTGCTTGCAAATGTTTATTTTAAGAAGAATTTATGTGCTAAAATACGAATTATTCACTAAATCTGTTCTTAATTCGTTACATAACCTAGAAAATGGATTATTACGTTTGTTTCTGCGTGAAAATCGAAAGAAATTCAGGGAATTTGGATGATTTCGAAAGAAATATTGAAGATTTTTCAACACTTCCGCTTCTTAAGCACTTCTGCTGAACTTGTACACCACTTCTGGACTGCATTATCTCTACCTTGGCACACGCGACAGTAATCTCAAGCGTCTCTATCACTTTCCCAGAACCGATACGCTGGATTGCCGATATAAAAAGCAAGATTGGACGGAGCAGATATTACGTTTACCTCTATCTTGGCCCACTTAAAATCCTTATCTTCTTCCTTATGGCTGTGTCTCTCAACGAGTTTAAACTCCGGCAGTATTTCCGAGAATTCACAGATGGCTGGAAAAACCACACGATCACCGTTCATGGGGTAAGGATTATCAGGCTTAACATCCACGAAACATCACGACAAAAATAGGGGGTCACTTTTTTTTGGGTGTCTTGAAGTGCCTAAACGTTTGGTGACGTCAAATCCAACCCCCACTCCTCTGTCCGCCATTTTGAACACCACCAAAACAATATTTCTTCATTAACTCAGCTCCTATGGCATGGATTGGGTCCAAATTTTAGTATGTTATAGCTGACATCAAGATCTTTCCAACGAACCGCCATTCAAGGATCTAAGTCATTTCAAACCTTAGATATTAGGGATCAAAATTAAAAACTTTAAACGGCCATATTTCAGTTTCTACTTAACCGATCTGAATGATTATGAGTTCATTGGAAAGGTCTCGTAAAATGCCATCTTCCACTTAAACCTTATAACTTAGTAGAACCACCGCTAAGGGCGCTAAATTGGAAAAAACCATTTTCAAATCTTCTGAAATCAAATAACTCGGAGAAAACCTTATGCATTTCCTTCAAATTTTTATATGTTATAGCTGAGGTCAAGACCTTTCCAACGACACCTTACTTGTGGGGCTTGATGTTTTGGGAGTGGTAATATGGAAGGTCAAAGTTCACACATTAAACGGCCTATATCTCCGCTGTTTACCAATCAATTTTGATCATCTCTTTAGCAAAAGACGTGTCTCGACACCCTTAAGCATGCTACATTTATTATTAGTCTGTGACTTTATAAGGAATGCCGCCATTTTGAAAAATCTTTGAACGCCTGTATTTCGGCAAATCTGTTATGGATTTTGATGAGATTTTAGTATGTTATAGTCCATGTCGGGCCATCTCTAAAAATATGTTATAGTTTTTTGTGGGTACAATAGAACCTAAGTTATGATGGTTTAAAGTTGTAACTTTAAACCGCCATAGCGTCGGTTCTATTTACCCGATCGTAATGATTTTGGGCTCGTTGGAAAGCTCTTGCAAAACTCTACAACTCATTAAAACAACAGAAGTTCATCAGACCACCGCCAGAGGCGCTATTGTCAATGATAACATTTTAGAAACCCTTAACTATCACTATCTCACGTTCTTTTCTTCTTACACAGGCACAAACACACTTCAGTGACAATCTTCCGGAAATGCCTCAAGTGTACGAGAGCGGTTCCTTCACCGTGGAATCTCATCACTTGGCCATTTGCTGGATTCTGGTGGCACAGATTCTCACTGGCTACTTCAGCTACTTCTTCGCTCGATTCGCTTGCAAAATTCACATCCAGAGTGTGAGCTTTTCGCTTCCACTCTGCTTAACTGTGCCCATCAGTCTCACGACACTCTTCATCCTCGCTGGCTATCGGGAAAGTCACACTTGCACCTTCCAGGACATCATTCCCAATTATCTCTTCTTCATCACGCCACGGGCTGAGGATTTGTTGGTGTATGTGCGACAGGATTATGTGTGGTTGTGGGTGTTGTGGCTCTTCTCTCAAGTCTGGATAACATTGCACATTTGGTGGTCGAGATGCAATAAGAATGCTCCAACGGATACACTCTTTGTCCTGCCAATGTATAATGGTTTACTGGTGGATCAATCAATGACACTCAACAGGAGACAATTTCCCGAAGAGGAAATCACAAAGACAGTGGATATTTCTGGTCAGGAGGATGAGATTGATGTGAGTAAATTCACTGAACACATTCAATTGCAAGAACTCGAGGGAATCAAGTCCAGTGATCGCATACCACAAGTGTATGTGTGTGCAACAATGTGGCATGAGACCAAGGAGGAGATGATGGAGTTCCTCAAGTCCATTTTGCGTCTGGATGAGGATCAGTGTGCTCGAAGATTAGCATGGAAGTTCATTCAGCGCACAGACGAACCCGACGACGAGTACTACGAACTGGAGACACACATCTTCTTCGATGACGCCTTTATGGAGAAGGACAAGTGTGATGATCCTGATGGATCACCTATTAACACATATGTGAAGATCTTGATCAACAATCTCGAGGAGGCGGCAAGAGAAGTGTACAAGCAGAAGATGAAGATCTATCCACCCACGAAGATTGTCACACCGTACGGGGGACGTTTGATCTGGGTGTTGCCCGGCAGGACGAAAATGGTGGCACATTTGAAGCACAAGGACAAGATCAGGAAGAAGAAGCGCTGGTCACAAGTCATGTACATGTACTATCTCCTCGGCTATCGCATCATGCAGCGCGATGTGTCGCCGGAGCGGAAGAAGGTGTGTAAAGATTTTTTCCACTGCTGGATTCCTGCAGGGAAAATCCATAACACTGCGGGATTCCTCTGAAGAATCCTTAAAGCCAAATCCCTTTTCACTAAACAGATTCCTTCAGGAATCCCCAATTCAAATTCTTTTACTTTAAAGACCGTACAAATGCTGGAGGCTTCCTGCAAGATTCCACTAAGAATCCTGCAGGCAAATTTTATCATTTTAAATGACGGAAAAAATGACAGAAGCCTCCCGCAAGATTCCACCACGATTCTTCAAGGCAGAATCTCTCATTTAAAAGGCCGGGAAAGCACTGGAAGCCTCTCGCAAGATTCCATTAAGAATCCTGCAGGCAAATTCCCTCACATTGAAAGGCTGAGACGCCGGAAGCGCCGGGACGAAAGATTTGCCATGACGGATTATTGCTGGAATCTTGCGGGAGAATTTGAGAAGAAAATGGCGGAATTGCGGTGGAATTCTCCCGCAAGAATCCTCAACTTTTCCGCTATTTGAGATGAGAACGGCGGAAACGCGGCATTCCTGTAGGATTCCTGCAGGAAAATCCGCCACAAATCCGCCATTTACGGACATTTTCGTCCATGCAGGAATTTCGGTGGAATTTCCAGCAGGATTCCTGCAAGAAAATATATAAAAATCCACCGTTTTCGGTACTTTTCGTCCTTGCAGGAATTACGGCGGAATTTCCAGCAGGATTCCTGCAGGAAAATATATAAAAATCCACCGTTTTCGGTACTTTTCGTCCTTGCAGGAATTACGGCGGAATTTCCAGCAGGATTCCTGCAGGAAAATCTATGAAAATCCACCGTTTTCGGTACTTTTCGTCCTTGCAGCAATTTCCAGCAGGATTCCTGCAGGAAAATATATAAAAATCCACCGTTTTCGGTACTTTTCGTCCTTGCAGGAATTACGGCGGAATTTCCAGCAGGATTCCTGCAGGAAAATCTATGAAAATCCACCATTTCGGTCCTTTACGACCTTGGTGGAATTTCCAGCAGGATTCCTGCAGGGAAATCCGGCACAAATCCGCCATTTACGGGTCCTTTTCGTCCATGCAGGAATTTCGGTGGAATTTCCAGCAAGATTCCTGCAGGAAAATCCGACACAAATCCGCCATTTACGGGTCCTTTTCAATCATCCGGTGAAAATATTGCGGAATTCCGCGTATTTTTCCGCCAAAATTTCCGCTATCAGAGCAAAATCTGCAGCGTCTTAACTGATTTTCACTGTCTTTTTGCGCACATTTCTCTGCATTTTGCCAATATCTCAGCCTCAAATTGAGATATCGACATGATCTCAGCGGCATTTGAAAGATGATTAAATTCTTAATGTTTTATGTCTTAAGGTAAATGTTCGAAAAATTGAAAGAAATATCGAATTTTTCACAAAAAAAATATTTTTTTGTGGCAAAAAATTTTTTGTCTTTAAACTTTTTTCGCTACTGTTTAAGCATGCAAAAAGCAAATTGTCGAGTCCAAGACAAGGCGGCCTATGATGTAGATGTCTTCTAGATATTCCAAACTCATCATTTAATGTGATTATCCGAGGCAGTTTTATGGTTAAACCATGGATTTAGAGCAAATTATGAAATGTCTTAACTTAATTTTCGTTGTCTTTTTGCGCACATTTCTCTGCATTTTGCCAATATCTCAGCCCCAAATTGAGATATCGCCATGATTTTAACGTTATTTGAAAGATCATTAAATTCTTAATGTTTTTTGTCTTAAGGTAAATGTCTCGAAAATTGATATAAATGACGAATTTTTAGCATCAAATGGAAAAATGGTCAAAATTTCATCATAAGTGTCCTAAGTTAATTTTCACTACTGTTTATCTAACATTCCTTTTACTGCATGTTTCAACCGAAACCAGGTCATCGCGCAGAACACTTACCTTCTCGCCTTGGACGGTGACATTGACTTCCAGCCGAATGCCGTTCAACTCCTTCTCACGCGCATGAAGATCGATCCGGACCTCGGAGCCGCGTGCGGACGGATTCATCCGGTCGGCAGTGGTCCGATGGTGTGGTATCAGCGCTTCGAGTATGCCATCGGTCATTGGCTGCAGAAGGCCACGGAGCACGTCATCGGCTGTGTGCTGTGCAGTCCTGGCTGCTTCTCCCTCTTCCGCGGACGCGCTCTCATGGAGAACAGCGTGATGAAGAAGTACACGACCAAGTCCGAGGAGGCGCTGCACTATGTGCAGTACGATCAGGGTGAGGATCGGTGGTTGTGCACACTTCTGCTGAAGCAGAAGTTCCGCGTTGAGTACTCCGCCGCCTCCGATGCCTACACACACAGTCCGGAGGGCTTCAATGAGTTCTACAACCAACGAAGAAGGTCAGTAATAAGCGGACTTAGACTCCAAGGGGGAGATAAACAAGGCGATTTTTGAGGAAACTTGATGTTCTCTAACCAAATAATCCAACTTGAGTTGAATAATCAAAAAATGCTTATTTTTTCAATTAAAAAAGTTCCGAAAAGTGCAATTTCCTTTTCAAAAAGTTCCGAAAAGTGCACTTTCCAAAAAGTTCCGAAAAGTGCACTTTCTGAACAGTTACAAAGAGTGCACTTTCTGAACAGTTCCGAAAAGTTCCGAATGGAATTCCTATGGAATTCCCAAGGAATTCGTATGGAATTTAGCTAGGATATCTAGAAAATCTAGAAAAAGTGCACTTTCCAAAAAGTTCCGAAAAGTGTACTTTAAAAAAAGTTCCGAAAACTGCACTTTTTAAAAAGTTCCGAAAAGTGCAATTTCCTTTTCAAAGAGTTCCGAAAAGTTCAATTTCCTTTTCAAAAAGTTCCAAAAAGTGCACTTTCCAAAGAGTTCCGAAAAGTGCACTTTTCAAAAAGTTCCGAAAAGTGCAATTTCCTTTTCAAAAAGTTCCGAAAAGTGCATTTTCCAAAAGTTCCGAAAAGAAAAAAATTGCGCCTAAAGATAACAAATTGCGCTCAAATATTCCGAATTGCGCCCAAAAATCTGTAGATATTGCCCAAAGATTTCGATTTGCGCTTGAAATTGCGCCCAAATGTTACGCGTTGCGCCTAAAGATTGCGGTTTGCGCCTAAAGATTTCGATTTGCGCTTGAAATTGCGCCAAAGGATCGGATTTCGGATAAATACGTCTTTTTTTGTTGATATTTTGGGGTGGAGCGCCGGGAATTTCTGGGAGAAATTCCACACATTGCAATTTTCTCCATGGAATTCCCTGTAATCGTCCTTGGATTGGTAAATAGAATCACAAATGGAAATTTTCCATATATGGGAAAAGTCACCATGGAATAGTTGGAAGTAATATAGTAAATAATCCATGGAAAATCATCCTAGGTAAATTCCTATGGAATTCCCATGGAATTCCTATGGAATTTAGCTAGGATATCTAGAAATATCACTGATCGTTTCTCTCCTGTTTTTCCCCAGATGGGTTCCCTCGACAATAGCCAACATCCTAGATCTGATCTTCAGCTACAAGATGATCGTGAAAGCCAACAGCAGCATCTCCATGCCTTACATTGTCTATCAGTTTGTCATGATGATTGGCACAATTCTCGGTCCAGGCACCATTTTTCTCATGATGATTGGAGCAATTGTTGCGGTCTTTGGCACCAGCATCTGGACATCCTTCCTCTGGAACTTCATTCCGCTGTTCTTCTTCATGATTCTGTGCTACTTTGCCAAGCAAAAGTACCAATTGATTGCCGCCTTCTTCATCACATCTGTCTATGCGATGGTGATGATTGCTGTGGTGATTGGAATTGTCATGCAAACACAGGAGGATGGCATCAATTCACCATCTTCCCTGTTCTTCCTCGCTGTCGCTGGTCAGATCATCGTGACGGGTTTGATGCATCCACAGGAAGCTTGGGCTCTCATCTGTGGCATTGTCTACTACATCACCATTCCCTCCATGTACATGCTTCTGATCATCTACTCCCTCTTCAACATGAACGACGTCTCCTGGGGCACCAGAGAGAATCCCCAGCCCACCACTCAAGCCACCACCGCCGCCGCTGCTGCTTCGCCCACTCAGAATCGCTTCCAGCGCCTCCTGGGCTTCCTGCAGGTGAACAAGCAGGAAGAGGGGACACTTGACTTGTCCTGCGGCGGAATCTTTCGCTGCATGTGCTGCACACATCCCAAGGATGACGCCAGTGACGCCCATCTCATGCACATTTCCACCCAACTCACGGAAATCACCAGCAAAATGAGGGATCTCGAAGCGTAAGTTGACATTGAAGGATCAAAAAAACAGATTATTTTCCCCAGGAAAATTACAAAAAATCTAAATAATCAAATTTTGAATAAGAAAGATTAGAAAATTATTATTTTTTATCAACTTTTTCCAAGTAAAATTAAAAAATAATAAAATTTGGAAAAAAATTAAAATTTTTCTAGGTAAAATTGAAAATAATCAAATTTTGAATAAAATAATCAAAATATTATTTTTCCCCGAGTATAAAATTGAAAAATAATCAAAATTTTGAATGAAAAATTGTTATTTTTCCAAGTAAAATTAAAAAATAATCAAATTTTGAATAGAATAATAAAAAATGATAATTTTCCCAAATAAAATTGAAAAATAAAAAAATTTTAATTACAAAAATCAAAGAAAAATATTATTTTTCCAAGTAAAATTGAAAAATAATAAAATTTTTGAATGAAAAATCAAAAAAAATTATTTTTCTAATTAAAATTGAAAAATAATCAAAATTTTGAATGAAAAATTGTTATTTTTCCAAGTAAAATTGAAAAATAATAAAATTTTTGAATAAAATATCAAAAAAAATTATTTTTCTAATTAAAATTGAAAAATAATCAAATTTTTGAATGAAAAATTGTTATTTTTCCAAGTAAAATTAAAAAATAATCAAATTTTGAATAGAATAATAAAAAAAATGATAATTTTCTCGAAGTGAATTTTAAAAAAGAATCAAATTTTGAAAAAAAATAATCAAAAAATTACTATTTTCCCAAGTAAAATTGAAAAATAATCAAATTTTAAATTAAAATAATCAAAAAATTATTAGGGAAATCATCATCCTGATGAAAACCTTTAATAAAAAAAAAAAAAAATTATTATTTTTTTTAAGTAAAAGTGAAAATTAATCAAAATAGGGGTAAACGGGGCAGCTTCAGATTGGGGCAGCTTCAGATTTCTTAATTTTCTCAGAGATTTTTACATGAATAAATTCCTGGTCTTCACACAATGTTTGTAGTCCTTAAGGACTACAATTGACGAAAATTTGCACAGGATTGCCTTGACTGTTTAGATAAAATAAGTGAAAATTGAAAATCACTCACAAACTAGAATTTTGCTGCCGAATTGATTGCGTGTTTTCTCCATTAAAAAAGCCACAATTCGCGTGAAACACAATCAAAGGTTATTGAGAATTAAGTAGAGATTCTAAATATGCCCGAACTTTTCCTCCTGATCACGGCCTTTTCAGTGGGTGGTGGAAAATGCACAAACACTGCCCACGGGGCAGTTTCGGATCGCCACGGACTGACAACAGCGCGCTCTGACAGAATGACGCAACATCACGGTCGAAATTTTCTTGTGGCAAATATTGAAGATTTTTCACAAAGTGCCGTTCTGTGCTGCATTGCTTCATCACGTTAAACGACTTCTTAGTGGAAAAGTGAGAAAATACACGCGAAAATCACTGATTAGAGCAGAAATTTCGAGAAGCACATTTTCGCGGCGCGTCAAGTTGCCACCACTCACGCATGGTGGCGTTGCGACACAGGAAAAATGACGGGCAACTTGCTTTTCGCTCAGACATTTTGACAGTCCGTGCAAGGGTCCAGAAAAGTCGCGAAAATATTACTTTAAAGGCGATTTTTAGGAAATTAAATAGTTTCAGTGCGTAGAATAGATATCAAAGTGATCATTTGCCCGCGATTCTACAATTTCACAATGGAATTTAAGGTAAATATAAGTGAAAATCTGAAACTGCCCCAGAGCAATCCGAAACATCCCCGTGCGGGGCAGTTTCAGATAAATTACAATATTATTTTCATTCTCCTGTAGAGGAAAAAGGATCAGTTTTAATGCCCAATGAAAGGCATTTTCTGAAGCTCAACAGACGAGAGTTTATTTGAGCGTTGTGATTATTTAAATATATTCAGCCAATTTTTCAAGAAAAAATCCTAAAGTTGGAACAGCATTTTGAATCTGAAGCTGCCCCACTTACCCCTAATCAAATTTGAATAAAAAATAATTTAAAAAAAATGATTGATTTCAAGGAAAATTGGGTTTGCTAGTTCTTGGTCGTAATCGAGTCGTATGAGTGACTATATGACCGACAATTGTATGCTCCATGACTCAGAACCGACCAACTTTTGGACACTTTTTAGTCACATTTCTCGACTCTTGACGAAAAGTGATCCTCTGCTTTCAACACCACTGACTTAAATCCTTTCTGTTTCTGCAGAAAACTCTCCGGAGAAGTGACAGTGATGACAGACAACAAGGAGGATCACGAAACCATCTCACCGCCACCAAATGAACCCACACTGGAAGAGGTGTTCTGTGAGCCCGAACGTCCTGTAATCTCCCTTCCCGATTGGCTCTACGATGAGGATCTGAGGAATGGTGACAATGACACTCTTCCGCTGGCGGAGGAGAAATTCTGGAATGACATCATTGATCGCTACCTGAAGCCATTGGATCTGTCTGAGGAGGAGAAGAGCAAAGTGGCGACAGCATTGAAAGATCTGAGAGACATGTCAGTCTTTGCCTTCATCATGATCAATGTGATCTTCGTGCTCACGGTGTTGCTGCTGCAGATGAACAAGGATGACATTCACATTCGATGGCCATTTGAGGTGAAGAACTTCATTGATTACGACACCGCCAACAATGAGATCACAATTGTGCGTGAGTATTTGGAATTGGATCCCATTGGATTGCTCTTTGTCGCCTTCTTTGGCATCATTCTTGCCATTCAATTCGTCGCCATGTTGATTCATCGCTTTGGCACACTGGCGGAAATTCTCGCTGCCACCAATTTGGATTGGTATTGTGTGAAGAAGGCCAATGAGCTGTCACCACAGATGGATCTCAAGAGTCAAGCGGTGAATATTGCCAAGAAGGCACAACGACCACAGCCACAGTGGGATGAGGAGGACATGAAGGAGGAACAGAGAGCAATTGGACGACGACGTGACACCATCCAGAAGATTCTCTATCAGCACAATCAGAAGCACGATTGGAGTAATCTGGAGAGGAACTTCAAGAGGCGCTACTTCAAGGAGGGCGACTTGGATTTGGGTCGCTTAACTGTGCGACGTGAGACAATGAATTTGCTGAACAATCGACGAACGACACAAATTGAGCAACGCAAGTCCATGAGTCGCAATCGTCAGTCGATGGTGGGCATCAACGGTGTGACACCTGTGCCGCCGGGAATGCGCTGGGAGAGAACGAGACCAATTGCACCAAGAGAGAGCATGATCACGACGCGACCGCAGTTGATGCCAGCACAGCCAAGAATTGAGTACGATCTCAACAACAGACCATACTGTGATCTCACCGAGGGTGGCCATGACAATCACTCCTTCACAGATGATCCACTCGATCCCAGGGCGTCCAATGAGATATCACGTCGCAACACTCAGAGAGTGCACTTCCAATGATTGCTGGATTGGAATGATTTCAATTAAGGTCTAACAATAAAGATATTTCATAAGACTATCTTGAAATGACATTAGGGAGGCTCAACATCACGAAATATGACGATAAAAGGGAGGGGGGTCACTTTTTTTCTTGTTCCGGCCGCTCGTCCGTCCGTTCATCCGTAGTTTCTCAACTCGTAGCGGATAAACGGTAAGAGATATCGACATGCGATTTTCACCAAAGGTCAAAAGTTGTACACTCGCTAGAACTTGGTGTTATCAAATCCAATTCCCCACCCCTCCGTCTGCCATTTTGAAAACTCTTAAAACATTATTTCTTCATCAATTCAGCTCTTATGGCATAGATCAGGCTCACAATCTAGTATGTTATAGCTGACCTCAAGACCTTTCCAACGAACCGTCATTTAAGGATCTAAGTCCTTTCAAACTTTAGATATGAGGGATCAAAATTTTAAACTTTAAACAACCATAACTCCGGTTTTAATTATCCGTTTTGAATAATTGTAGGTTCATTGAAAAGATCTCGTAAAATTCCATCTCTTACCAGAACATCATAACTTGGTAGGACCACCACTAGAGGCGCTTAAAGTTGAAATAACCATTGGCAAAACTTCGAAAACGAATAACTTTAAAAAGACCTTGTGCATTTTCTTTAAATTTTAATCTGTTATAGCTGAGGTCGAGATCTTTCCAACGATACCATACTTGTGGGGCTTGATGTGTTGGGAGCGGAGATATGGAAGGTCAAAGTTCACACCTTGATCGGTTTTTATCTCCGCTGTTTACCAACCGATTTTGATCATCTCTTCAGCAAAAGACGTGTCTCGACGCCCTTAAGCATGCTACATTTATTATTAGTCTGTGACTTTATAAGGAATGCCGCCATTTTGAAAAAACTTAGAACGCCTGTATCTCGGCAAATCTGTTATGCCTCTTGATGAGATTTTAGTATGTGGTAGTCCACGTTAGGACATCTCTAAAAATAGGTGATATCTTTTAATCGATGCAATAGAACCGGAGTTATGGCGGTTTAAAGTTTTTAACTTTGAAACGCCGTAACTTTGGTTCTGTTTGTCCAATTTTAATGATTTTAGGCTCTTTGGAAAGCTCTTGCAAAACTCTACAACTCATTAGAACAATAGAAGTTCATCAGACCACTGCCAGAGGCGCTAAAGTCAATAACAAAATATTGAAAATTTTCAAGTGAAAATTTTTATTCCAAGGTCACACTAATTTGAGATAATCTCTTAGATATTTCGATAGTCCAGATTAAGATGTTTCCAAAATGGGGTTAAACTTTTTTGTCACTGCCATAGAACCTGAGTTATGGCTGTTTGAAGATTTTCCGATTAAAACATGGATTGATCGAGTTGACCACATTGTGAGTTGACGACGCCAAGCTGATCATAAGCGTTGGCTTATCACGTCCCTTTGTTTATATGCCATGAAAGGTGAAACCATGAAAATGCACATTGAATTTCCTCTTTCGTAAGTTCAATTGGAATGAATGTCACACCCGATTAATATCAGGTGAAAAAAAAAAAACGGTCAAGATATGCCTCAAGAGGATGTCCGATAACATTGGCATTGTCAGGTCTGTGGAGGTTGTTTTATTTACAACACCTGAGTAATCTGGAGTGGTTGCCGGTGATCAGATGTTCTGGTGGGATTTAAAAGGCCAGTGACAAGAGACGACGCGCTTAGTTGATGGTGAGGCAGTGAACTGGGGCAAAAATGAAGTGGATTGTGGTGCTAAGTTGCATTTTGGCTGCTGTGCAGGCCATCCCATTCGTGGGACAGCCTATTGAGGAGTTGGGTGAGCACTTTGAGGGTGATATCCTGCTCACGGACACGCAGAAGCAGCAGATTTTCGATGTGATGGTAGACGGTCGCACAGGACTCCTGAATCCACGCTATCGCTGGCCCGGGAACATCCTGTACTACCAATATGCCGATGAGGTGACACCAACGCAGAGGGAATGGATTGACTTTGCTCTGGCCAACATGACTGGCGAGACATGCCTGACATTTGTTCCACGCACAAATAATGAACCTGACTACGTTCGCGTCACGACCTCCAGTTCCGGTTGCTTCTCCTATGTGGGTCGCGTTGGTGGTGCTCAGCAGTTGAATCTGCAGAACAATGATCCAGGATTGGGATGCTTCCGCTTCGGCACGGTGGTGCACGAGTTCATTCACGCCCTTGGCTTCCATCACACACAGACGGCCTACAATCGCAATGACTACGTCATCATCAAGTGGGAGAACATTCAGGCGGGCACTGAGGGCAACTTTGCACTGAGAGACAGAACCACGAGCACCATGTTCGGCCTGGATTACGACTACGACAGTGTGATGCACTACGGACCGACGGCGTTCAGCATCAACGGAGAGCCTACCATCATTGCTACACAGCCCGGAGCGGTGTTCGGACAGAGGAACTCAATGAGTGAAATGGACATTCAGCGACTCAACAGGATGTACGACTGCCCAGATGGACAGTAGATTGGCAGTGAATAAACTTGAATACGCAGGAGAAAATTCATTCATTTAGTTTTATTACTGAACACACTCCCTCGGGTCCTGTCACACGTTTTTCTCGGGCAATAGCAATATGGCCGCAGATGAAGGAAGCATGTGAGTAGAATGAGAGAGGAGAAACACGGCGGAGACTCTACGAACAGAGAAGAAACACGGAAGTGTGAAAAAGACAATATATACTAGGCAACCGTGGATCCAGAGGATCCGATGACAACCGCAGAAACCGGCGTTCAGGATGACTCGCATGCAGAAGAAGAACAAGAAGAACACTTGATGAATCTTGAGTCAAGAAAAAAAGAGAACTAGGGAAAGCCCAAAACAAAGAGACAGAGAAGAAAGGCACAAGAGAAGACGGAGCAAATGACGATAAAAGAACGAAGAAACAAAGAGGGTAGACACAAACAGTATCAGGACAACAGACGAAGCAAGAACCAGACAAAGAACACCAGGGATTCGAGTAGAAGAAAAAGAACCATATGAGCAAGAGAATGGAAGAAAAGCGTATGGAAGAAAGCACCATCAAGACATTTTTTTTGGATCAAAACAATCAAGAAGGGATAACGGAGTCTAATGTTGGAATTTAGAACTCTGGGAATAAAGATTAATAGTTTTATCGCTATCTCACACACAATAAACCACTTCTCACGATGTGTTTACTTTCATTGAATATCTCCACTGATTCGCATGATTGTGTCAAGTGGCCGGTGATCAATGAGCTACTGTTTACCACCCATTTTCCCACCATGATAAATCAATCATATCTCGATCTACAAGAACTACATGGGAATTGCGCTCCTGGACATGTGTGTATAATGTCTTGTCGAGGATCATTCTGAATAGACTGAAGCCGTATGCTGAAAGGATCATCGTGGAGTATCAGGCAGGCTTCCGGCCGTGGGAAGTCCACGACTGATCAGATCTTCAGTACTCGCCAGATACTGGAGAAATACTGGGAGCACAACATCTCAGTTCATCAGCTGTTCGTGGACTTCAGACAGGCTTACGACACCATTAACAGAGGAGCACTGTGGAAGGCCATGCGGGAGCTGGGAATCCCAGCTTAAACTAATCAGTTTGGTGAAGATGGCCATCTCCAGTTCGGTGTGTCAGGTGAAGGAGACACCCTGTCGAAAGCGAAAACAAAGTACATGGTCACCGGCGACGCAGCATCCAAATTCAGGCAGAATCTCACCATGGCGACGATTGGAACTTCGAGATAGTTCGTGACTTCAAGTACCTAGATTCGGTGATGACGTCTGACAATGAAGTCCGTCTTGTCAGTTTTCCGGTCCAGAAACGTCTCATGGGTCAACAAAGGTCAAAAAAAATCTACAGAACCATCGTGAAGCCAATGATCACGTATGGTCTGGAAGCAGCACCATTGAACTGCACGGAGGAGAGAAGGATGCAGGACCTTTGAGAGATGGATTCTGAGAAGAATATATGGGGGGTCGACCCAGGATGCGAATTCAGGGGAATTCTGTATACGGATGAACCACGAACTGGAGGAGTTCTATGGAGAACCGGACATTGTCGACTCAATTTCAATTTCAATTTCAATTTATTGAGCAAAAATTTTTAGGGCCTACCCCTCTTACAATTTGCTAATGAGAAAGGAAAAAAAAAACGGAAAAAACAAAGACTAAGAATCGACAAGACAATAAAAAAAATGATTTCAAAACGTTTAACTATGATGGGTCACTGACCAGATCAGCAGCCTGAAAGTGCTTCCTGATGCCCCCCACGGTCTCGCGCGCCTCACGCGGGAGGGCATTGTAAAGCGATACCCCCCGGACAAAGAGGGTACGGAAAAAGGTCTCATGCTCAGCTCGAGGAACAAGAAGTCCCCGAAGCCTGGTCGAACCACCCCTCGTCAAGAGTGAAGCCAGATATCCAGGGCAGCCGCTGATGGAAAGACGATCTAAGAAAATTAGGGCTCGCATTTGCAGGAAGGAGGACAGGCTGCAGCCCACCAGCACATCCCTATGGGCAGAAATGTGATCGCGGGGACCCAGTCCGCAGACGCGCCTGACACAATTGTTAAATGCTACAGTCAGCCGACGGAGTGTGTCACTATCCGCCAGGAAGAATAGCTCTGCTCCATATGAGAAGAATGGCATAATTAGCGCTCGCACGAGAAGCAACCGAGTGTCGTAGGGCGTGATGTCCCGATAGCGTCTGAGGACGTAAAGAGAATAGTTGACCTTGCGGCAAAGGGAGGTGTGGCATGATCAGACCAGGATAGTGTCGAATTAAAGACAATACCAAGGTTTTTAACCTGATCCGCATAAGGGATAACTTCACCGTTAAGAAGAACGGTGAAATAAGGAAAGTTAGCACTCCTTTTTGAGAAGATAATTGCCTGCGGTTTTTTAGGATTTAGGCGAAGCCCATTTGAAGAGGCCCAGTGCCCGATTCGGGAGAGGTTATCATTGAGAAGTGTGAAAGCACAGGAAGAGTTTGAAGGATCACCTTCAACGTAAATCTGGAGGTCGTCCGCATACAAATGATACGAGCAACCACGCAGGACAGAGGGCAGATCATTGATGAACATGGAGAAGAGCAAAGGACCACTCCATTTGGGTAAGAAGACTGGGATGGCTCGGGCATCTGCACCGCATGCCGGACGACAGAATGCCCAAGAAATTGTGGTTTTCGGGGCTTAGAAGGAGGGGCCGACCCCGGATCTCAGGGCACTCAGGGTGTGGTGCGTTGCTGGTGGGCGGTGGCGGCGGATTGCGGAGTGTGGAGAGGCATTGTGGAGAAGGCCATGGCCCTTAAAGGGACGTAGGGCCACTTAAGTAAGTAAGTAAGTATGAATCAATCCATAGAAACACTTGAATCATGCAATATTTAAGCATTTATATTTGCCAACAAGAGTTACAATCTCTCGCGAATCACTGTCCATTGGGACAGTTGTACATGCGATTGAGACGTTTGATGTCCAGTTCACTCATGCCCAAGCGCTGACCAATGGTCACACCACTCTGGATTGGCACAATTGTCGGCTGACCATTGATGCTGAATGCCGTGGAGCTGTAGTGCATCACACTGCCATAATCGTAGTCCAGATCGAACATGCTTGTTGTGGTGCGATCTCTCATGTTGAAGTTATTCTCCGTGCCCGCTTGGATGTTCTCCCACTTGATGATGATGTAGCTGTCACGGGTGTAGGCCGCCTGTGAGTGATGGAAGCCGAGGGCGTGAATGAACTCATGCACCACCGTGCCGAAGCGGAAGCATCCGGATCCGGGTACATTTGGTGCCAACTTCAGTGTCTGCATGCCACCCACTCTGCCCACATATGAGGAGCATCCGGTGGAATCGGTGGTGACATGGACATAGTCAGCCTCATTGGTGCGTCTCACGAACTTCAAGCACGTGTGTCCTGAGATATTCCTCAGACCCAACTCAATCCAATCCCTCTGCTCCTGATTCACATTGGCATTGAACTCATAGGCCAGTGTGTCACCTGGCCAGCGATAGCGTGTGGCCAAGAGTCCTGTGCGACTGTCAAGCATGCCATCGAACAGTGATCTTCGCTGTGCCTCCGTCAACTCCATGTCACCCTCGAAGAACTCACCCATCTCCTCAATGGGCTGCTCATCGTCCGGACTGACGAGCAGAGGAACAGCCAAGACTGTGGCCAGGAGAGACAATAAAACCACCAAAATCCACTTCATTTTGCACGCGCGCTTTCTCGTGAAACTGGTTTCTAATCCCACAACGTTCCTTGCTTTTATATTGCGCGATCAAGCGAGAAATCATATCGACGCGCAAGCCAAGATAAAGATGGTACAAAGAGTCAAAAGCTTGAGTCAAGGGGGAGATATTACAGTCAAAAGTTGGTGTACAGCTCAAAAAGAAGTGTTTAGCAGTGGAAAAAGCTTCCATTTCAACCAAATTGAGACATTTTCCTAATTAATTTTGCTTAAAAATCCATTTTATCGCCTTTTTTGAGGTTATGTTATTGATTTCAAACATTTTCTGACGATTAAAAAACCCTCAAAATTGTCAAATTTGTATTTAAGTTTAGGAATTTTTCTCTTTTTTCCTTGATTTGTGTTCAAAATAACTCAAAATTGATTGTGAAAATGCTTTGAAGTTAATCATAACCTCAAAAATAATTTTATTTCCACAGTTTGTGCTTTAAAAGTGACAAATTCAACCAGAATTTCTTGTAGAAACTTTTTGATATTCGCTTTTTCACTCATTTTCAGATTCAAAAGGATAAAAATGAGTAAAAATGAGTGAGCAGATTTTCCTAATAACTTTGATTGCTTAAAAATCAAATTTATCGCTTTTTTTGAGGTTATGTTTAATGTAAAAACAGATTAAATTATCAAATTTCTCTGTTTCTTGACAGATTTGAGCATTTTTGTGCGAAAAAACTTCATTTTGATTGAGAAAAAGCCTAAAAGTCAAACATAACCTCAAAAATATCACTTAAATTGCAGAAAAATGTCTCTTTGCCTTGGTTATTTTCGCAGATTTTTACTTTACAAGTATATTTGTACTGTTAAAGCTTACTTTTCAGCAAATTTAGGCATTTTTTTTCAATATTTTGCCTGGAAAAATCAATTTGATCACTTTATTTTTAGGTTATGTGATAAAATAACCCTCAAAATCTGCTAATTTGTGTTTAAACTGCAAATATTTCTCTGTTTCTCTATAGATTTGAGCATTTTTGGTGCGAAAAAACTTCATATTGATTGAGAAAAAGCCTAAAAGTCAAACATAACCTCAAAAATATCATCTTAAATTGTAGAAAAATGTCTCTTTGCATTGGGTTTTTACGCGGTTTTTCACTTTAAATAAATATTTGCGCTGCAAAAACTTCGATTTCAACAAATTGAGGCATTTTTAAAAATAATTTTGCCTAGAAAAATCAATTTAATCGCTTTATTTTTAGGTTATGTGATAAAATAATCATCAAAATCATCTAATTCGTGTTTAAACTCAGAATTCTTCTATTTTCTTGGCAAAATTAGGGATTTGCGTTTGAAAAAGACTCCAAATTAGGTTAGAAATAGCTTAAAAGTCAAACATAACCTCAAAAATGTCTCAGAGAATTCTCTTTGTTTGTTATTTTTGCAATTTTTTCTCTAAAGTGGCAAATTTAGTCTCATTTTTTAGAGGAAACATTGTGATATTCGCCATTTTTAGTCATTTCCAGACTTAAAACAAGGTTTTAGACAAATTTCATAACCTCACAATTTATTCAGATTTATTTTCAAGCATTTTCTGCAGATGAAACTAGGAAAATCAAGACAATAATGCATTTTTAAGGGCGCTAAGAAGTGTCTGGAAGTGTTTGAAGATTCTGCAGAGGAATTGTGGAAGTGTTTTGGAAGTTGTGTACACTGTTTAGCCTTATTATCTCCCCCTTGGTGTCAACAATTGCGAGAGATCATATCGACAAAAGCTCTCGCGCAAGCCAAGATAAAGATGGTTGAAAGAGTCACAAGCTTGAGTAAATCAATCACTTGATTTTCGAGTAGAGATAATAATTAAAACAATATCTTGTGTTGATATTTTCTTGTTTACCTTAGAGGAATTCTCTTCTTTTCTTTCTTCTTCTCAAAAATGCGGAATTCCTGGAAATTCCTCCTTCAACTGCATTTTCTATTAACATTTTGTGTACAATTTATTAAGGTTGTCCAAATCGCGTCCTTGCTGTGCTTTTGCGTTTGAAACCGCGCTCAACGGCTCTCATCATTAGACTTCTGGTGCAGAATTACGACCACGCAAAAGCAATCTTCGTCCGGATGAAGAGATGATTGAAATAGGTTGGTAAACAGCGGAGATGTAGGCCGGTAACGGTGTGAAATTTTTCAATTTTACTTTAGAAAAATTCATTTTTTAAATTATTTTATTCAGAATTTGATTATTTTTTAATTTTTCTTGGGAAAATAAACTTTTTTAAATTATTTTTTTCATAATTTTGATTATTTCTCAATTTTACTTCAGTAAAAATCATTTTTTTATTGTATTTTTATTAAAAATTTGGTTGTTTTTCAATTTTATTTGCAAAAATATTTATTTTTATTGTTTTTTATTAAAAATTTGATTATTTTTTCAATTTTTCTTGGGAAAAATCTTTTTTTAATTTTTAAATTCAAAATTTGATTATTTTTCAATTTTATTTGGAAAAATCTTTTTCAAATTGTTTTTTATTAAATTATTGATTATTTTTTCAATTTTTCTTGGGAAAAATCTTTTTTTTTTTATTATTTAATTCAAAATTTGATTATTTCTCAATTTTACTTCAGAAAAAATCATTTTTAAATTGTTTTTTATTAAATATTTGATTATTTTTTCAATTTTTCTTGAACAAAAAAACATTTTTTTTTAATTTTTAATTCAAAATTTGATTATTTTTCAATTTTAGTTCAGAAAAAATCATTTTTTAATTGTTTTTTATTAATATTTGATTATTTTTCAATATTATTTGCGAAAATATTTATTTTTAATTATTTTTCATTAAATATTTGATTATTTTTCAATATTATTTGCAAAAATGTTCATTTTTAAATATTTTTTATTTAAAATTTGATTATTTTTTAAAGTTCTCTTGGGAAAATAATCATTTTTAAAAAGTATTTTATTCAGAATTTAATTGTTTTTCAATAATAATAATATTTTGACGTTTTGATCTCTTGAATTTTTATTTTTCTGTCAGAATTCCGCTCAAGATTCCTAAAGAAAATTGCCCTTGAATTTCTTTTTCTACATCTTGTTTATTCAATTTCTCGCCTGGCAATCGTACATGTTGTTCAATCTGTCAATGTCTCCTTGGCTCAGTCTCACTCTCTGGCCAATTTCCGCCTCTGGATCGAGCGGAACAATCGTGTCTTCGTCGTTCATCGTGAAGGCCGTCCTGGGATAGTGCATCACGCTGTCGTAGTCGTAGCGGACGCCAAAGTGCGAAATCACCGTGTCGTCGAACTTCTCGAAGTTCCTCACGAACATCGGATTGATGTTGTCCCAGACAATCGTCACGAAGTCATCACGATCAGAGGCGCTCTGCATGTGAAAGAAGCCGAGAGCGTGCAGAAACTCGTGCACGATCGTGCCGTTGCGGAAGCATCCCTGGCCAGGAACATTTGGTGCCAAATTCAGTGTCTGGCGACGATTTTGGAAGCCCACAGAAGACGAACATCCAGCATCGTCACCCTGTGAAGGCGACCAAGGGGGAGATAATGTGGTTAGAAGTTGTGTACAGCTTAAAGTGTGAATATTTAATGATATTTTTTAATGTTTTCTGAATATTTGATGAAATATTGTTTATTTTATAAAGAATTCTAGATTATTTTTCAACTTTAATTTGGGAAAATATTAATTATTTTTTATTATTTGTGTTTTTTATTCAAATTCTGAATATTTTTTTAATGTTTTCTGTATATTTGATTAAATATTGTTTATTTTTCAATTTTAATTGGGAAAATATTCATTATTTTTATTATTAATTTGTGATTTTCATTTAAATTTTGATTATTTTCTGAATATTTGATTAAATATTGTTTATTTTATAAAGAATTCTGGATTATTTTTCATTTTTTTGGGAAAACATTATTTTTTCTTAAATTTTTGTGATTTCTATTAAAATTTTGAAAATTTTTTGAATGTTTTCTGAATATTTGATGAAATATTGTTTATTTTATGAAGAATTCTGGATTTTTTAATTGGGAAAATATTCATTTTTCTTTATTATTTGTGATTTCTATTCAAATTTTGAATATTTCATACAAATTCTGATTATTATTTTTTGAATATTTTCTGAATATTTAATCAAAATTTGAATATATATTGAATAATTGTGAATATTCGGAATATTCCGAATTCACTGATTGAAAATAATCTTTTTTCCTTTACTATTGATGATGATTTTGTGACCTCAAAGGCTTCCAAACGGAGTTTTTGAAGATTTCTTAGATATTTTTTGAGGTTATGTTGGTAAAACAGAACCAAAAAAGCGGTTTTAGGTGGTTTCTAGCAGGAATATTAAATGAAAACTTAATACAAATGTTATTTTCCCATTGAATTGAATTCTTTTAATGCCGAAAAACAATAAAATTGTACTAAAATTGAACATAACCTCAAAAATAGTCATTTAGACTTGGAAAATGTCCATTTAAACAACTTTCTGGGCCATTGTGACTCATTAGCAAATCAGAAATGATGTTTTTGTGGTCTAGAAAGCTTCAAAACTGGGTTTTTAAAGATTTCTTAGTGATATTTTGAGGTTATGTTTCTAAAAAACACCCAAAAAAGCAGTTTTAATTGGTTTCTCACACAAATATTGAATAAAAACTTAATACAAACTTTATTTTCTCATTGAATTGAATACTTTTGATGCCAAGAAACACTTGTAAATTCTGTTAAGATTGATCATAACCTCAAAAATAGTCATTTAGACTTGGAAAATGTCAGTTTAGATAACTTTTTGGGCAATTTTAACTGTAAAATCAGCAATTTTAAGATCATTAGCAAACCAGAAATGATGTGTTTGTGATCCAAATTGTGTTTTTAAAAGATTTCTTAGTGATATTTTAGGGTTATGGTCGGAAAAGACCTCCAAAAAACGGTTTTTAAGTGAATTCTTATAAAAATATTGATAGAAACTTAATATAAACTTTATTTTCCCAATGAATTGAATACTTTTGATGCCAAGAAACACTGCAAATTGTGTTAAAATTGAAAATAACCTCAAAAATAGTCATTTTCACTTGAAAAATGTTCATTTAGACATCTTTCCGGGCATTTTTGACTCTGAATCAGCCATTTTCAGTTCATTGGCGAATCATAAAAGATGATTTTGTGATCTAGAAAGCTTCCACAACAGCAAAAAGCTGAAAGCATTCGAGGCTCTGCATATCTTCTTATCGGGACATAGAAATGTCAATAAGAGGGAAGATTGTGCTGACGTTAGCATGATCTGTTTTCAGGAGAAGAAAAGGAATTTGAGCTAAAAAGGTCATTTCTGTCAACTTACATAAAAAGAAAGCTTTCAAACTGAGCCTTTTGATGATCTTTTAGTGACATTTTGAGGTTATGGTCGAAGAAAGACACTCAAAAAAGGCGTTTTTAAGTGTATTTAAAGTGATACGACTTTGATTTTGGCAAAATACTCACTCGAACCAAGACATAGCTGTTGTGCGAGGCATTCTTCGGCACGAAACGCACGCAGGAAACCTCCTCGATCATGTCCAAGGATTGACGAATGAATTGCTTCTGTTCGTCCGTGAAATCGTCGCTCAGTTCGTACGGCACAGTCTTGTTCGGCCAACGATAGCGCTCAGCAATGTAGCCGGTGCGCTGCTTGAGGGCAAGAAGTTGCTTCGGCGACAGGATCATGTCGCCCTGGAAGTTACCACTCTGCTCCTCGACATTCTTACTCTGCGCCGCAAGCCCTGAAGGAGTTACAGATTAATTCATCAATTCCCAAGGGGCGAATTTTGAGGAAACTCAATGTTCTCTAATCACAATAATCCAAATATTTGAGTAAAATAAATCACAAAATGATTACTTTCCCAAAAAAATTGAAAAAATAATCAAATTTTGAGTAAAATAATAAAAAAATGATAATTTTCTGAAATAACATTGAAAAATTAATCAAATTTTGAATAAAATAATTTTAAAAAATAATTATTTTCTGATATAAAATTGAAAAAACATCAAATTTTGAATAAAATAATAACAAAAATTATTAATTTCCCAAAAAAATTGAAAAAAACATCAAATTTTGAATAAAATATTTTTAAAAATGTTTACATTCCCAAAAAAAATTGAAAAAACAATCAAATTTTGAATAAAAAAATGATTATTTTCCCAAAGACACTGAAAAAACAATCAAATTTTGAATAAAATAATTTTAAAATTTATTACTTTCCCAAAAAATTGAAAAATAATCAAAATAATCAAATTCTGAATTAAATAATTTCAAAAAATGAATATTTTCACAAATAAAATTGAAAAAAAAACAAAATTTTGAAAAAAATAATCAAAAAAAAATTACTTTCTCGAAAAGAATAACAAAAAAATCAAAGAAACCAAATTCTTAATGAAATAATAAAAAAAATGAATATTTTTTCAAAATAAAATTGAAAAATAATTGAAAAAATAATTATTTTCCCAAGTAAAATTGAAAAAATATTCAAATTTAGAATAAAATAATTTTAAAAATGAATTTTTTCCCAAGAGAAATTGAAAAAACCATCAAATTTTGAATAAAATGTTTGAAAAAATGATTATTTTCCTAAGTAAAATTTGAAAAATAATTAATATAATCAAATTATGATTTGAATAATCACAAAAAAGATTATTTTCTCAATCTAAATTAGATTAAATTATTAGATATTATTATATTATTAGATTATTAGAAATAATTTGATTAGTTTAGATGATTTTGTGATCGAAAAAGCTTCAAAACGGAGTTTTTGAGGATCTTTTGATGATATTTTTGAGGTTATGGTTGGAAAAATACCCAAAAATAGCGGTTTTAAGTCGATTCTTATGAAAATTATCGAATGGAAACTTAAGAAATTCATGTTCTAGAAGTGTCAGGTAAATTTGGAAGTGTTTTGTACACATTAAAGGCAAACTATCTCCCCCTTGGTTTACATTTGATTTTCCGCCATTGACTTATTTCCTCAATTCATTCTCACGCGCTTTGAATCAACTGAATCAAGCGCGAATTGTGGTGAATTTGACTTACACTTTGCGTGAAATGGCAGCGTTGGTTTGGCCAGAATGGCCACCGGAAGCAGACAGAGAATCGCAACTTGGACACCAATCATGATCACTGAGAGCACAGAGCAACTGATGCGCAGACAAATCGTGTTCTGGGCTTTTATAGCGCCAATTTACACCTTTGGATGTTCTTCACACCTTGAGTGGCAGCACGTTTCCTCAAGTGCCACTGAGTGTTATCAGTTGGTCACCAGAGTGGAATACAAAGTGGAGGAGCGCAAAGAACACACTCAAAGCAATGCAACACTGTGGAATATTTTCTTTGCTTTAATCAACGAATAAATTCTGCGCAATTGCAGAATTCAAGAAGTTTCTTTGAGTTTTCTAAAATTTCGTTAATATTCACGAAATTAAGCGATTTTAAAGCGATATTTCGGTGAAGAAACGACCAAGAAAGCTTCAATTAAGAGCAAGGAGACAATAACTCGCGATTTGAGACCATTAACTTTGTGATTATTCAATCATTCTTTTGATTATTTGTGATTATGATTAAAAATGTTTGAATATTTCATACAAATTCTGATTCTTTTTTGATTTTTTCTGAATATTTAATCAAAATTTGATTATTTTAAATATTTTTTGATTATTTTCTAAATATTTCATTGAAATTTGTTTATTTTTTGAATATTTTCTAAATATTTCATTTAAAATTGATTATTTTCTAAATATTTTTGGATTATTTTTAAAATATTTCATTAAAATTTTATTATTTCACACAAATTCTGATTATTTTCTGAATATTTCATTAGAATTTGATTTTTTTGAATATTTTTTGATTATTTTTAAAATATTTCATTATAATTCTGATTATTTTGTGATTTTTTTAAATATTCAATTAAAATTTGATTATTTTTCTTAAATATTTCAATAAAATTTTATTATTTTCCGAATTTTTTTGATTATTTTTAAAATATTTCATTAAAATTTTATCATTTCATTCAAATTCTGATTATTTTCTGAATATTTCATTAAAATTTGATTTTTTTGAATATTTTTTGATTATTTTTAAAATATTTCATTAAAATTCTGATTATTTTTTGATTTTTTTTAATAAATGATTAAAATTTGATTATTTTTTTTTTAATATTTCAATAAAATTTTATTATTTTCCGAATTTTTTTGATTATTTTTAAAATATTTCATTAAAATTTTATCATTTCATTCAAATTCTGATTATTTTCTGAATATTTCATTAAAATTTGATTTTTTTGAATATTTTTTGATTATTTTTAAAATATTTCATTAAAATTCTGATTATTTTTTGATTTTTTTTAATAAATGATTAAAATTTGATTATTTTTTTTTTAATATTTCAATAAAATTTTATTATTTTCCGAATTTTTTTGATTATTTTTAAAATATTTCATTAAAATTTTATCATTTCATTCAAATTCTGATTATTTTCTGAATATTTTTTGATTATTAATAAAATATTTCAATAAAATTCTGATTATTTTTTTATTTTTTCTGAATATTAAATCAAAAAATTTGAATATAATTGAATATAAGTGAATTCATTGATTGAAAATTATTTTTTTTTGATTTTATTTAATTCAGACTTTGATTATTTTTTATATTTTCTTGGAAAATAATCATTTTTTAAAATTATTTAATTCAGAATTTGATTATTTTGAATATTTTTTCAATTTTAATTAGGAAAATAAATATTTTTTAAAATTCTTTTATTCAGAATTTGATTATTTTTCAATTTTATTTTGAGAAAATATTCATTTTCGGACTATTTCATTCAGAATTTGGTTTCATTGATTTTTTATTTATAATTTAATTTTTTTTTAAACTTTATTTGTGAAAATATTCATTTTTTTTAATTATTTAATTCAGAAATTGATTATTTTAATTATTTTTCAATTTTTCTTGGGAAAATAATCTTTTTTTTTAAATATTTTTACTCAAATAATTGATTATTTAATTGGAAAACATTAAAAGTTTCCTCAAAAATCGCCTTGTTTATTTGCCCCTTGCTTGTCATAGTTTTCCATTTACCCGTCGAAATGTTTTTATTTTCCATTCCATTCTTAGATATTCTCAAAATATTCCGACTGAAATGATTCGTCCATTCATCACTTGAGCAACCCTTGGAAAAACGGATGTTTTTTGGTAAATTTTGGTTTATTCAGGAATATAAATTTTGGCGCAATTGCAGAGTCACAATGTCCAGTCGGTGGCCGCCAAGTCCGCCGGATCACATTGTGCGGCGACGCTGAATTGCGTCAGATTCGCCTCGCCGTCGAACTCTTGGCGTCGCCGCGCGGTTTTCTGCTTGATTGGGAAGAAGTTCGTGATGGCACTCTGCTGTCCTTCGCGCCACGGCTCAACACCACGGCTGAGCCACTTGGCCGGCACTCTGTCGCCGCCGGGATTCACCGTGGGAATCACTTCGCGCGGCCGCAGGAAGCGCACGAAGCGCCGCAACTCGACGTAACTCGAGTGCTCGCTGTACGTCACGCCTACCAGCGACACTCTGCCCTGATGGCGTGGCCGCGAGTTCACCTCCCAGCCGCTCGGACGCAGCGCCAGCGCGTGCGTGAACTCGTGCTCGAACTGCGACACATACTTCACCACGTAGTCGTAGTTGAGCTGCGCCAGCGGCAGCACGTGAAGCTGCGCGTCGCGCGGATCCTCGCACAGCAGCCGCAGCAAGTCGGCGTCGCCAAGCGCCTCCACGGCGCGCCGCCGCTGCGCCTCCAGCCACACGCGCAGGCGGAAGTGTGTGGCCAGCGTGCGCCACACATTCTCCTTGCCCACCACATAAGTGCCCACGATCACCAGCGTCTTCTCGCCGATGTTGCGCGTGAGGAAAGTCTGCGTGGCCTCGACGGCACTCTGGATGCTCTCCTCCTGACTCGGCAACACCGTCCGCGAGGACAAGTAGCTGCAGAGGAGAAACACCACAAATTGCGGTTAATTTCATGAATTTTTACTACAAAATTGAATAAAGAAAGTAATTATAAAAGCGATTTTAACACTAGAAAATGCCAAGGGGGAGATAAAACAGAGTCCAGAAGTGGTGTACAAGTTCAGCAGAAGTGCTTAAGAAGCGGAAGTGTTGAGAAATCTTCAATTTTCCTTTCCAAATCATCCAAATTCTCTGAATTTCCTTCGATTTTCACGCAGAAACAAACATAATAATCCATTTTCTAGGTTATGTAACGAATTAAGAATAGATTATGTGAATAATTAGCATTTTAGCACATAAATTCTACAAAACATTGACAGAATTTAGCATTTGCAAGCATTTAACAGTGTTTTTTTATCCTTTAATGCTAAGAAACACTGCAAATTGTGTTAAAATTCAACATAACCTCAAAAAACAGTCATTTGAACTTGAAAAGTGTTCATTTAAGAAACATTTCTGCATGATTTTGACTCAGAATCAGCACTAATCCAATGATTTAGTCTCTGATTTAGATCTAAAAACCTTTTTAAAGGGAATTTTTGAAGATTTCTGGGTTTTATTTTGAGGTTATGATCAAAAAAGATGTCTAAAAGAGAGTGTTTTTAAATTGAATTCTTACAAATGAACAGAATTAAGCATTTGCAATCAATTAAAAGTGTTTTTTTTTATTGTTTAATGCCAAGAAACACTGAAAATTGTGCTAAGATTGAACATAACCTCAAAAAATGACATTTGAACAGCATTCTAGACCATTTTCACAGAGAATCAGCAGTTTTAAGTCCATTGGCAAATCAAAAGTGTTGATTTTGTGCTTGAGAAAGCTTCAAAACGGAGTTTTTGAAGATTTCTTAGTGATATTTTGAGGTTATAATCGAAAAAATACTCAAAAAAGTGCTTCAAAATCGATTCTTATGGAATTATCAAATGGAAATTCAATACGAAAGTTTTCTTTCCCTTCAATTGGACACTTTTGAGGCCAAGAAACACTGAAAATTGTGTTAAGATTCAACATAACCTCAAAAAATGTCATTAAGACTTGAAAAATGACAATTTAGACAACTTTCGAGACAATTTTGACTGAGAATCAGCAATTTTAAGATCATTTTAAGCTTTCGAAAAGACTTTTTGAAGATATTTTAGGGATATTTTTGAGGTTATGGTCGGAATGGATTATTAAAAATGCGTTTTAAGGTCATTTCTTAGGATTTTTGCAGAAATATCTTTGAATTTCCTTCGATTTTCACCCAGAAACGAACGTAATAATCTTTTTTCTAGGTTATGTAGACGAATTAAGAACAGATTTAGTGAATAATTCGCATTTTAGCACATAAATTCTGTTAATTCTTGCCAGAATTATGCATTTTCAAGCAAATAACAGTGTTTTTAGGTCCTTTGATGCCAAAAAAACACTGAAAATTGTGTTAAAATTTAATATAACCTTAAAAAAAAGACATTTAAATAACTTTCTAGACAATTTAGACTATGAATCAGCAGTTTTGAGTTCATCTGCAAATGAAGAGAGATGATTTTGTGCTTCAGAAAGCTTCTAAATGGAGTTTTTGAATATTTATTAGTGACATTTGGAGGTTATGTTTGGAAAATACACCCAAAAAAGCTGTTAAAAGTGGTTTCTAACAGAAATATCGAATGGAAACTCAATAGAATGTAATCTTTACATTGATTTGGACTCTTTTGATGCCAAAAAACAGTGCAAATTGTGCTAAGATTGATCATAACCTTAAAAATAGTCAAATAAAGCTGCAATTTGAATCATTCAGAGATTAAAATTCTATTAAAATGAATGTGGAAATTAATTCCGGGTAAAATGTGATGTTAAATTTTAAGATAAGAAACTCTAAAGCATTATTAAGATGTCAAATGTATGCGAAAAATACCAAATTTTCTGCATATAAACTAGATAAAAGCTTTCTTCAGCTCAATCTGTGGCTTTTCACTCACGTTGTGTCGAGATAAATGGTGTCGACGTCGTTATTCCAGAAGATTGGGTGCATTTCCATGGCATAAGACGCCCTGAAGTCGCCCGTGTGCAGAACAGTTTCGCCGCTGGGCAGTTTGAAGAAGAACATCGCGGCTCCAGGACAACTGAAAAGCAAAGTGAGAGAGAGAAATCCTCAGTAAATTCTCAAAGAAAATACTTCTCTTGTTCTAAATAGTCATAGAGTTTTGCAAGAGCTTTCCAATGAGCCCAAAATCGTAATGATTGGGCGAAAAGAACCGAAGTTATAGCGTTTTAAAGTTTAAAACTTTGAACCGTCATAACTCTGGTTCTATTGCATCCACAGAAAACTATAACCTATTTTTAGAGACGTCCTAACCTGGACTACAACATACTAAAATTTAAAGAAAATGTATTATCTAGTTGCCGAGATACAGGCGTTCAAAGGTTTTTCAATATGGTGGCATTCGTTATGACGTCATAGACTAATAATGAATTTGGCCTACTAAAGGACACCAAGACACGTCTTTTGCTGAAGAAATGATCAAAATCGGTTGGTAAATAGCAGAGATATGGGCCGGTTAATGTGTGAACTTTGACCTTTCATATCTCCGCTCCCAAAACGTCAGGCCCCACAAGTAGGGTGTCGTTGGAAAGGTCTTGACCTAAGTTACAACATACTAAAATTTAAGAAATATGCATAACGTTTCTTCTGAGTTATTCGATTTCAGAAGGTTAGAAAATGGTTTTTTCCTATTTAGCGCCTCTAGCGGTGATATTATCAAGTTGTGATGTTTTGGTAAAAGATATCATTTTACGAGACCTTTCCAGTGAACTCAAAATCATTCAGATCGGTTAAGTAGAAACCGAAATATGGCCGTTTAAAGTTTTAAATTTTGATCCCTAATATCTAAGGTTTGAAAGGACTTAGATCCTTGAATGGCGATTCGTTGGAAAGGTCTTGAGGCCAGCTATAACATACTAAAATTTGGACCCAATCCATTCCATAGGAGCTGAGTTAATGAAGAAAGAGTGTTTTAGGGGTGTTCAAAATGGCGGACAGAGGAGTGGGGGTTGGATTTGACGTCACCAAACTCTAGCAGCTCAACAACTTTTGACTGTTGGTGAAGACCGCATGTCGATATCTCTTACCGTTTAGGCGCTTCGAGACATCAAAAAAAAGTGACCCCCCTCTTTTTCGTGATATTAAGCCTCCCTTATGTTTAGCGCGATTACAAGTATCAGTGGACTTTGCTCAGCTGTAAATCCTCCCTTAAATCTCTGGAAGCAGACAAAGAATTGACTCACTGATTAGCGTCGATGGCCGTGACTTCGACACCGTCAATCGTGATCGGCGTGTTGAGCTCCATCTCGTGCAGATGTCGCTCGTGCACGCCGATGAACGCACGCACGAGATTCGCCGTGACGGCCGTGAGGTAAATTGGGCGGTCGAAGGACTTGCGCAGTCCGACGTAGTGATCGGCGTGGAAGTGCGTGAGGAAGTAGTGCGTGACTCTGTCCACGATCCCGTAGCGAAAAGCGTCCACGGCGAACGTCGTGCCTTTCACGATCTTGAACGGCGGACAGACGACTTTCCTTCCGCGGCGCGGCTTCTTCTGCACGCAGAAGGAAAGATAAATAGTAAGATTTTGTAAAAAATGTCTAAAAATGATATAGAAAAATTTAAAATAAAGTAGAAACAGCGAAAAAACCTAAGAAAAGAGGCAAAAGTGAGTATTTTTGAGGTTATGTTTGACTTTTTAGCTGTTTTTTTTTCCTTTTTCAAAATTTAACAAGACTCAATTCTGTTAAGAAACAGAATTTTTCCACTTTTAACACAATTTTTGACGATTTTTAGGGTAATTTGAACACAAGAATCTGTTTTCTAATGAATAACATAACCTAGAAATGCAACAAAATTGACTTTTTTGTAGAAATAAAATGTAGAAAATGTTTTTATTTATTTAAACTGAATAATAAAGTTGAAACAGCAAAAAAAAACCAAAGCAAAGAGGCAAAAATTAATATTTTTCAGGTTATGTTTGACTTTTAAGCTGTTTTTTACGTCCGAAATTCAATCAATCTGAGGTTTTTCGAACACAAATGATTAACTGTGCTAAGAAAAAGAGAAATTTTTCACTTTTAACACAATTTTTGACGATTTTCAATGTAATTTGAACACCAAAATCTGTTTAAATTTGCTTCAAACCAATTTTCATCAAATTGTGAGGTTATGAAAGCAGCTTTAAAATCTTTCTTCAATAAATTTGAACCTTTTTGCACCCAGAAAATTAGTGAATGTGACGAAGAACAGAATGTTTTGCAATATAATGACGTTAAATTTGCCAAAAAAGGACAATTTTTGAGGTTATGTTTGACTTTTAAGCTGTTTTCTAACCTAATCTTAAGTTTTTTCGAACGCTAATGCTTAATTTTACTAAGCAAAGAGAAGTTTTCTCTGTTAAAACACAAATTAAAGGATTTTGAGGGTTATATTTATCACATAACCTAAAAACAAAGCGATCAAATTCATTTTTGTAGTCAAAGTAATTATAAAAAATGTATCAATTTGTAGAAATGGAAGATTTTGCAGTGAAAATATTCTTGTACAGTGAAAACCGCGAAAATAACTAAGGCAAAGAGACATTTTTCTGCAATTTAAGATGATATTTTTGAGGTTATGTTTGACTTTTAGGCTTTTTATCAATAAAAATGAAGTTTTTTCGCATAAAAATGCTCAAATCTGTCAAGAAACAGAGAAATTTGATAATTTAATCTGTTTTTACATTAAACATAACCTCAAAAAAGCAATAAAATTGATTTTTTTAAGCAAAATTAAGCCAATATTTGATTGATAAGGAAACTTGTTGTGCAAATATTCTTTTGAAGTAAAAACCGTGAAAAAGAACCAAGGCAAAGAGACATTTTTCTGCAATTAAAGTGATATTTTTGAGGTTATGTTTGACTTTTAGGCTTTTTCTCAATCAATATGAAGTTTTTTCGCACCAAAAATGCTCAAATCTGCCAAGAAATAGAGAAATTTGATAATTTAATCTGTTTTGCAAGTTAAACATAACCTCAAAAAAAGCGATTTAATTGATTTTTAATCCTTTTGAACTTGAAAATGAGTGAAAAAAGCGAATATCAAAAAGTTTCTACAAGAAATTCTAGTTGAATTTGTCACTTTTAAAGCACAAACTGCGGAAATAACATTATTTTTGAGGTTATGATTGAACTTCAAAGCATTTTCTCAACGAATCTTGAGTTATTTTGAACACAAATCAAGGGAAAAAGAGAAAAATTCCTAAGCTTTAGTACAAATTTGACAATTTTGAGGGTTTTTAAGCACCAGAAAGTGTTTTAAATCATTAACATAACCTCAAAAAAGGCGATAAAATTGATTTTTAAGCAAAATTAATTAGGAAAATGTCTCAATTTGGTTGAAATGGAAGCTTTTTCAGTGCAAATATTCTACATATTTTGCCACTTCCACTTCTAAACACTTCCTCTCAAGCTGTACACCAACTTTTGACCACAATATCTGCCCCTTGGTTTATGTTTAGCTGATTTTTCAAGAAAAACTCTTAAAGTTGGCACGACATTTCCGCTCTAACACCGCCCCACCTTCCCCTAAAACACATCTTTTAATAATTTGTCACTATTTCGACTGTTCTTTTTTTTGTCTTTCTGCTCACCTTTGGCTGCTCTTCCTTGATCGCCGGCGGATGATTCTCCGGCGGATGATTCTCCGGCGGTTCAGTGATGCCGGAATCTCCGCTCGTCGAGACTCTGTTGATTGTCTGGCACTCGGGATTCACTTCCACGTCGCCCTCCTGCTTGATTGTCCGCTCCAGCAAGTCCATCAGCTGTGCCTCGTCGGCGAAACAACAGCCTTTCTTCGGACGCACCACGATTTGATCCTTCTGCAGACTGAAGTTGAACAGCAATTCCTGCTCAGCCGTCGCCGTGATTTCCAGCAGCTTGGACAGGAAGTTGTTGACATTGATGTCACCGGAAATCATCACCGGGAAGAGAGATTCGCGAAATGTCTCATAATACGACCGAAAAGTCGATCCTCGATGGACAGCAAAGTAGTTTTGGATGCGTTTCTGCTTGTCCGTGAAGTATTTCTTCCCGATCATCTTAAGATTTGTGCTCCTGCCCAATGTTCGCCTCACGAAGATGTTCGTGACGGGATTTCGGGCTCTTGTGGAGGAGAATTGACGCAGTGTTGCGTCATCATCTCTGTTTTCTTTCATCTCCTTCGGCTGTTGAACTTCTTCGTCAACAATCATCTTCTGGACGACTTCTTGGCATTTCACCTCATCCTTCGCTGCAGGACTGAAGAAATCCTGTATTCTGTAGCACTTGGAAGCTATGCTCTTCAGCTGCTGTTGCTTCCTGGACTTCCTGCCGGATTGTGGCTGGGATTCATTGAGTTGCGCCACAGAATCTTCTTCCTCAATCTTCAGCAGCACTTCTTTTCGTCTCTTGCGCCTCCTCAAGCTCAACGGTGGCACAGTTGACTCTGTCACATCCTCACCATCTGACGACAGGACAATCACATTGTCCTCAAGATCACCTGGTGCCACAGTGTCCTGATTGCCACTCAAATCTGGCTCCTGAAGCACAGCAAGAGGTTTCACGTGGATTCTTCCTGCCAAAAGAAATGGATTTTTCCCTCACATTTAAACACTATAACACATCACAAATGCAGTAAAATCTCACCTTTCATCCCTCTTTTGGCAATTTAAGGGCACTTTTGGGGGTGGAAAATGATGTGAAAAGCTGAAAAATTGAGAAAAATCATAGAAATTGGAGGGAAAACATTCAATGTTGTGAAATTCACGAGCGTTTTTAGTACTAAACCCGGCTGTGAAACTGTCAAAAGCTGTACTAATTTCATGTCATGCAACACGAACGGCTTTTGTAAGTGGTCTAAAACTAGTAGGCGAAAAATTGGGAAACTAAGCGAAGAGAAGTAACAATTATTACATATAGATTTTAAGTCACTTTCCATTAAATCATCAAAATTTCAATAAAAATAACCAAAAATTGCACATATTCAACGTTAAATTTGCAAAATAACCAAAAAATTCATATTTTCCGTTGCACAAGAAATGTTAAATATGTTTTATAATGATTTAACACACGCCTTCTGCTGTTCTGAATCTCACATGTAAAATATAAAATGGCGAAAGTATAAAAAAAACCAAAAAAATCATTTGTGTTATTTGCTTTTCTTATCAAATCTTCAATATTCCTTTTCTGTGTGTTTCTTTTTCTCACTAATCATCCAGATTCTTTGAATTTTCTTTGATTTTCACGCAGAAACAAGCGTAATAATCTTTTTTCTAGGTTATGTAGCGAATTAAGAACAGATTTAGTGAATAATTTGCATTCTAGCCTAGAAATTCTGCTAGTTCTTGGCGGAATTAAGCATTTTTAAGCAACTAACTGTGCTTTTTCGATCTTTTGATGCCAAGAAACACTGCAAATTGTGTTGAGATTGAACATAACCTCAAAAATAGTCATTTAGACTTGGAAAATGTCAGTTTGGATAACTTTTTGGGCAATTTTAACTGTAAATCAGCAATTTTAAGATCATTAGCAAACCAGAAATGATGTTTTTGTGATCCAAATTGTGTTTTTAAAAGATTTCTTAGTGATATTTTAAGGTTATGGTCGGAAAAGACCCCCAAAAATGGTTTTTAAGTGAATTCTTATAAAAATATTGATAGAAACTTAATATAAACTTTATTTTCCCAATGAATTGAACACTTTCGATGCCAAGAAACACTGCAAATTGTGGTAAAATTAATCATAACCTCAAAAATAGTCATTAAGAGTTGGAAAATGTCAATTTAAACACTTTTCTGAACAATTTTGACTGTAAATCAACAATTTTAAGATCATTATCAAATCATAAATAATGTTTTTGTGATCTAGAAAGCTTCCACAACAGCAAAAAGCTGAAAGCATTCGAGGCTCTGCATATCTTCTTATCGGAACATAGAAATGTCAATAAGAGGGAAGATTATGCTGACGTTAACATGATCTGTGTTCAGGAGAAGAAAAGGAATTTGAACTAAAAAAGCAATTTCTGTCAGCTTACATAAAAAGAAAGCTTTCAAACTGAGTCTTTTGATGATCTTTTAGTGATATTTTGAGGTTATGGTCGGAAAAGACACCCCAAAAAAGCGGTTTTAAGTGAATTCTGACACAAATATCTGATGGAATTTTAATACAATGTAATATTTCCCTTGATTATGATTCTTTTGATGCCAAAAAATACCTCAAATTGTGCTAAGCTTGTACATAATCTCAAAAATTATCATCTTTTTGAACAATTATGACATAAATTCACATAAATTCAGCTAGTCTATGGCAGAATTATGCATTTTCAAGCAACTAACAGTGCTTTTTTGATCTTTTGATGCCAAGAAACACTGCAAATTGTGCTAAGATTCAACATAACCTCAAAAAAAGTCTTTTGAACACTAGGAAAATGTTTATTTAGTGAACTTTCTGGGGTATTTTGAGTGAGAATCAGCATAATTTAGGATCTTTGATCAATTTTAAAGATCTCTTAGTGACATTTTGAGGTTATGGTCGGAAAAGACACACAAAAAAGCGGTTGAAAGTGAATTCTTGCACAAATATCGAATAGAAAGATAACACTACAGAATCATCTCATTGAATTGGACTGCTTCGACGCCAAGAAATACCTCAAATTGTCCTAAGATCGTACATAACCTCAAATATTATCGATTTTAAAAGACTTTTTGGACAATTTTGACCCTAAATCAGCAATTCTTAGTTCATTTGCAAACTATAACAGATGATTTTGTGATCTAGAAAGCTTCAAAACGGAGTTTTTGAGGTTTTTTGGTGATATTTTGAGGTTAAAAAGTGGTTGAAAGTCAATTGTTATGGAATCACAATGTAAATGAAAGAGAATTTTGGTTTGCTTTGCTCATTCCAAATCACCACCGAAATCCTAGCTTCTCACAAGCAACTTTGCGTTCATCTTATCGCAATTTCAATCATTATTATTGTGTTGCGACCTTTGTGAAGATGAGTGACGAAAGTATCTCTGAATTGTGTGAAAATATTTCTTCAAATGTGCATTCTTTGGGATTTGATGACAATCCAAACCACACAGCAAAGGAAGCAATTGTGATAGTTCCCGGAAATCCGGGAATAACAGGATTCTACGATACGTTCGCCGAGGAAATTTATTTTAAACTTGATAAGAAGATTCCAGTGTTGGTGACTGGTCATCTTGGTCATCAGGCATCACATGTTGATCCACCATTGCAGGGCAATGAACACTTGTACGATCTCGATGGTCAGGTGAAGAATCAGGTAAGAAACTTCAAAGAATCAAGATCAAGATTTCAAGATGAAAATATCTTGGAATTGTTAAAATATTTAAAGCCCATCAATAGTCGAAAACCAAAGTTTTCATGCATTTCTAAAGATTTCATCCGCTTCAAACCGCCTTTTTTGAACGTCTTTTCCGATCATAACCTCAAAATATCACGAAGATACAAGGGGCTAATCACTCGCGCAAGTTGAGACCATTAACTTTGTGATTATTTAATAATTTCTTTTATTTTATTTGTGATTTTTATTCAAAATTTGAATATTTCACACAAATTCTGATTATTTTTTGATTGAAAAACTGTTTATTTTATACAAATTCTAATTTCTTTTTGATTATTATTTGTGATTTTAATTGAAATTTTGATTATTTCATACAAATTGTGATTTATTTTATTAGTATTATTTAAATCACAGCGTTTACATTCGACATAGCTTCATTTGCGGCCATCGCCGTCTTAGCGTCGCTGACTAATCTCCAGGACAAAACTTCTTTTTGATTATTTTCTGAATATTTAATCAAAATTTGATTATTTTGATTATTTTTCAATTTTTCTTAGGAAAAAAATGATTTTTTTTAAGATTATTTAATTCAAAATTTGATTATTTTTCAAATTTATTTGCAAAAATATTTATTTTTATTATTTTTTATTAAAAATTTGATTTTTTTTTCAATTTTTCTTGGAAAAAAGTCATTTTTTAAATAATTTTATTCATAATTTTATTGTTTTTTTTCTTTTTATCTTAAGAAAAAAATAATTTTTAAGATTGTTTTATTCAAAATTTGATTATTTTTCAATTTTATTTGCGAAAATATTTATTTTTATGTTTTTTTATTAAAAATTTGATTATTTTTTAAATCTCTCTTGGAAAAATAATCATTTTAAAAAGTATTTTATTCAGAATTTAATTATTTTTTCAATTTTTCTTGAAGAAAAAATAATTTTTTAATTTATTTTATTCAAAATTTGTTTATTTTTTCATTTTTTATTGGGAAAATAATCATTTTTTGATTATTTGATTAGAGAACATTAAGTTTCCTCAAAAGTCGCCTTGTGATTTGCCTCTTGAGCACAAGAATCTAGTCCAGAGTTAAGAATACCAAATCTTTAAATATTTTTGACGTTTTGATCTCTTGAATTTTTATTTTACTGTCAGAATTCCGCTCAAAATTCCTGGTAGAAAATTTCCTTTCTTTGCAGATCAAAAACATCCTTTCCACCGTGCCGAAAGACACCAATCTCTACTTCATTGGCCACTCAATTGGCTGCTGGATGATTCTGGAGATGCTGAAGCTTGCCAACATCAAGCAAAGGACACGCAAGTGTTTCATGCTCTTTCCCACCATTGAAAGAATGTCCGAGAGTCCAAATGGAAAGTACTTTTGCTCTGCCACAATTCGCCTTTATCCCATCCTGAAGTTCTTCGTGACTTTAATCTACTGGTTGCCTGAATTTGTCAAAGGATTCCTCATCAGGAGCTTTGCCAAGTGGAAATCATACGACAAGACAATGCTTTCGCCCATCAATCACTACATCAATCCCGTCGCAATTGAGAAATCCTTCACGCTGGCCTTGGAGGAAATGCGACGCGTGAAGGAGTTGGACATTCAAGCACTTCAGGACAATAAGGATTTAATCAAGATGTTCTACGGCGCAACAGACGGATGGGTTCCGGTGAAGTACTACGAGGAAGTGTGCGAAAATGTGCCGGGAATTGACGCTGAATTGGACAACAAAGGCATCGCTCATGCATTTGTGCTGAAATCCGGCAAAGAAATGGCCTCAATTGTTGCCAATTGGATTAGGGATATTATGTAGAAGTTTTTTAAATTAATTTCATTGCATGACAAGCACATTCCATTATCGCGCTAAAAGAATTTGTGAGACAGTCAAAATATGATCAAAAGTAAACATTTCTTTTTATTAATGATTTTTCTCCCTAAGAGAAACTTTTATTTGACATTTAGTAATTAAAATCCCACAAATGTGGGTCAATTTAAATGGGATTTACACAAAAATGGCACTAATGATGGCTCATTAGCCTTGATTTGCATTATACAAAAAAATTTGCACACTCAAAGCACCAAAAGAAATGCGGAGAAAATGCTAAAAATACAAAACAATGTGATTTTATATTCAAATGTTTTACTATGATTTAAATAAAAAAAATTACTATATAGAAGAATATATACAAAAGTTTACGAGAGTTTTTCCTATGTAATATTTCCATATCACACAAATATATTGAATGATTTTGCATATATCTGGAGTCTGACATTGATAAGACCATCGATTGATATACAAGATCATCGCAATGAAAAATGACGTGATAAGCGAACGTTAATGGTCAGTTGGGCGTCGCCAACTCGCAATGTCACCAACTTGACCAACTTTGTTTTAAACGAAAATTTCAAAAAACCGCCATAACTCTGGTTCTATGGCTTCGATAGAAAAGTTTGACCCTATTTTGGAAACGTCTCGATCTGGACTATCGAAATACGTAAGAAATGATCTCAAATTAGTGTGACCTTGGAACAAAATTTAACACTTAAAATTTTTTAAAATTTTGTTATTGACTTTAGCGCCTCAGGCGGTGGTCTGATGAACTTCTGATGTTTTAAAGAGTTGTAGAGTTTTGCAAGAGCTTTCCAAAGAGCCTAAAATCATTAAAATTGGACAAACAGAACTAAAGTTACAGCGTTTTTAAAATTCAAACTTAAAACTGTCATAACTCCGGTTCTATTGCAACGGTGAAAAGTGGGCTGTGCAATGCTGCCGTGCATGGTTCGAGGGGTATGCTGTGATCTGCGCTTCCAAGTGATTGACCAGAACGTGACTACGATACTCGACGGCAAATCGGCTGAGAAAGTGGGGTTAATTAAGCGCATAAACAACGTGACGATCGAGAGTGGAGTCTTTGAGGGACTCGGAAAGCTCAAAGACTTTGAGTACGACATTGACATCGTTGAGAATCCGAAGTTTGTGATTCATCCAGCCAGATCCATCCCGTTCAGAGCACGAGAGGCTGTCAAGCGAGTGCTGGACAACATGGTGAAGCTGGATGTTATCGAGAAGTGCCTGGAAGCCACAGATGCTGTATCCCCGCTAGTCGTGGTGCGTCGCAAAGGAAAGATACGCATCTGTGTTGACCTGACGGACGTGAATGTTACTGAGGAAGTAATTATGGACGCTGTATATCAGTGGGAGGCAGAACATCAGGAGAGCTTTGAGGCCATCAAGAAGAGGCTTGTAGAGGCGCCTCTGTTGCACTATTTCAAGATCTGTGAACCAGTCGTGCTGAGTGTGGATAGTACATCGAGAGCATATGGAGCGGTGCTATTGCAAGACAACTGGCCAGTGGCGTACGCTTCAAGGAGTCTGAGCGATGCAGAAAGTAACTATCCGCAGATAGAGAAGGAGGCAGACGCCGTCAGATTTGGGTGTCAGAGGTTTCACGACTATATTTGGGGAGCACCACTCACCATCGAGACAGATCACAAGCCTCTAGAGACTATCTTCAGAAGACCATTAGTTGCCGCGCCGCCAAGATTGAAGCGCATTCTATACGACGTGAAGCCTTATGCACCAACTGTGGTGTATAAGAAGGGGAAAGACATTCCCGTAGCCGACGCCTTGAGCAGAATTTGTTCGCCCACAACGGAAGTCAATGAAGAACTGAGAGATGAAATGGAGAGCAGCATGGACAACAGCACAAATGAAGAGCAGCAACAGCTGACGATGAAGTGCTTGCGTGTGTCCTTGAGTACGTCCGGAAAGGCTGGCCGGACAGCGAGCATGAGGTGAAGAGAAGTGTTAGGGAGTAGGGGTAAATGGGGCAGCTTCAGATTGGGGCAGCTTCAGATTTCTTAATTTTCTCAGAGATTTTTGCATGAATAAATTCCTGGTCTTCACACAATGTTTGTAGTCCTTAAGGACTACAATTGACGGAAATTTGCACAGGATAGCCTTGACTGTTTAGATAAAATAAGTGGAAATTGAAAATCACTCACAAACTAGAATTTTGCTGCCGAATTGATTGCGTGTTTTCTCCATTAAAAAAGCCACAATTCGCGTGAAACACAATCAAAGGTTCTTGAGAATTAAGTAGAGATTCTAAATATGCCCGAACTTTTCCTCCTTGGCACGGCCTTTTCAGTGGGTGGTGGAAAATGCACAAACACTGCACACGGGGCAGTTTCGGATCGCCACGGACTGACAACAGCGCGCTCTGACAGAATGACGCAACATCACGGTCGAAATTTTCTTGTGGCAAATATTGAAGATTTTTCACAAAGTGCCGTTCTGTGCTGCATTGCTTCATCACGTTAAACGACTTCTTAGTGGAAAAGTGAGAAAATACACGCGAAAATCAATCATCAATCGCGAAACATTTTGCGCGGCACTTTCGCGGCGCGTCAAGTTGCCACCACTCACGCATGGTGGCGTTGCGACACAGGAAAAATGACGGGCAAATTGTTTTTCGCTCAGAAATTTTGACAGTGCGTGCAAGGGTCCAGAAAAGTCGCGAAAATATTATTTTAAAGGCGATTTTTAGGGAATTAAACAGTTTCAGTGTGTAGAAGAGATATCAAAGTGATCATTTGTCCGCGATTCTACAATTCCACAATGGAATTTATGGTAAATATCAGTGAAAATCTGAAACTGCCCCAGAGCAATCCGAAACATCCCCGTGCGGGGCAGTTTCAGATAATTTACAATATTATTTTTAATCTCCTTCAGAGGAAAAAGGATCAGTTTTAATGCCCAATGAAAGGCATTTTCTGAAGCTCAACAGACAAGAGCTTATTTGAGCGTTGTGATTATTTCAATATATTCAGCCGATTTTTCAAGAAAAAATCCTAAAGTTGGAACAGCATTTTGAATCTGAAGCTGCCCCACTTACCCCTACTTTTCGTTCCGTGAACAGTTGTCTATTGTCGATGGATTGCTCTTCAAGGGAGAGAAGATCGTAATACCAAAGTCGGAGAGAGCAAATGCGCTGAAAGCAATCCACGAAGGGCACTGTGGAGTGCAGGCCTCAATCAGACGCGCCAGGGAGTTCGTATTTTGGCCTGACATGGCAGCCATGATCAAGGACTACGTGGAGAAGTGCAAAACCTGTTTGGAGACACAGCCGGCGAAGAAGAAAGAGGAACTGCTGCTGAAGAAAGTGCCAGAATACCCATATCAGATCGTGGCCATTGATCTATTCCACTACGGAGGGGAGGAGTACATCGTAGTGGCAGACTCCTTCAGTGGATTCTTCGAGTTTCGGCGCCTGAGAGACACAAGCTCAGACGCGGTAGTGGAATTCCTCAAAGAGCAATTTGCTGCTCATGGCTGCCCGGAGATCCTGGAGACTGATGGAGGCCCACAGTATTCATCAAAAGTATTCTCGGAGTTCGCCAAGAAGTGGGGGTTCCGTCAGGAGAAATCTAGCCCCAGATTTCCGAGAGCCAACGGCCTGGCTGAGAGATATGTGCAGATCGCCAAGAAGATGCTCAGGCGATGTCAACGAGAGGGCGAAGACGTGCGCCATGCGTTGGTGATGGCTAGAAATACTCCGAAGGAAGGTCTGGATTCTCCAGCGGAGCGCCTCATTGGATGGAAGACGCGCAATGGGCTCTGTGCAGCTAAGAAGCTCGTGACGCCGGAGACAGCATCAACAGTTGCGTCACGAATCGAGACAGAGAGGCAGCAGCAAAAGAAGTACGCTGATCGAGGGGCTCAGACATTCAAGGAGCTGTCTGAGGGTCAGCGAGTGATGCTACAAAATCCGGATGGCACTTGGAGGTCCGGAGGAGTGAAAGCCAGGAAGGGGTCGCGCTCCTACATTGTAGCGCTTGACGATGGTCGGGAGTTGTGGAGAAATAGCCATTTTCTCAAGCCCACCAACGTCACCACAACCATCATTCCCGATGACTACCGCAGACCAGTACAGATGCCGGAGACGAGATTGCTGCAGAGCTCACAGTCCCAGTTTGAAGCTCTGAGCGCGCCAGAAGAGCAGCCACAAGTGCCACGAGACTACTCAGCAGTCGGAGAGAAGCCAAATTCCCTCCCAGTACAGTCTCAAGCCTCATCGCAAAACAGGAGTTCACTTGTGGAGCAACCCAGATCAGTTGTTGTCGTTTCCGGCGTTCCAGAGGGAGGCAGAGGAGATGGACCATACATTATACGCTCGGGCCGAGCTGTGAAGAAACCCGACAGACTGGATCTCTAACTTAAGCATGACATCGCCTTATAGAGTCACTTAATATTAGTCACTAATTTAATTGAAATTTGCCAATCTGAATTTATCGAATTTATTTGTTATCAAAAGAGTCAATCAAACTGTCATGCAAATACTTATATTAATAAAGTCAGTAGCTTGCCAGTAATCATTGAGTACAGACTATCACGTTACAGATATATCTTATTGTTTAGGTGTTTACAAGTCAATTTACAACGGAGCGACGAACGGCACCCAAAACAAAATGCGACCCCACTCTTTTCCGTCATAATTCGTAATGTTAAGCCTTCCTAATGTCATTTTGATGCATATTGCGAGTTTTTATTTTTAGCGCGATTACAAGTACAAAATTAATCACAATATTATATGTTATGATCTAATTCTAAAATTTAACAACGGGAACAGCAAAAATACTGTCGAAAATATTTCATACAATAAATACCTTTTCTTTCACTTATAGTCTCCTCCGTGTCAATGTCAAAGGTGTCAAAGGTGTCAAAGGTGTCAAAGGTGTCAAAGGTGTCAAAGGTGTCAAAGGTGTCAAAGGTGTCAAGGGTATCACATAAGTTTCTTCTCCCGTTTTCATCACAGAAACCACAATAAATTGCTTCATAAATTTTCTTTTTCACAGAAAATCGACAATTTTCACATGCCAAAATATAATATCTAAAAATTTCTGAACTTTGCGTGGCAATTTCAAATTGTGCTTCTGTCCCTGAGACTTTAAAATGATGCATTATATTTAAGGAATCATACAAAATTCCATCATAAGTATTTAAACATGAAACATAATTGCAATAATTCACACAATCTTTGCATTCAGCAATTCTGGGTTCATGACAATTTGGCTTAATAAATATGAACATTTCCTCGAGTTTGCATAAAATGTACATTTGGAAATCAATATTCCAACACTTGCTGATCATTTTTACATCACTCAATTTATTTTCTTCGATATTTAACACTTCCACGAGTATTTTCAGTGTTAATTCGTCGCGCGTCTCTTCGTCAATTAACTTTTCTTCTTCTAGGCGATAAAATTTGTGGCACAAATCAATATTCCGTTCGATTTGAATTTTAGTTGAATTTTTCACCGTGTTTTGCAGAATAAACAGCGAAAGATCCAAATTTTCGTAATTGAGGCAAATAATGCGCAAAAATTCGTACGAAATTTTCTCCGGTCCTTCGCCTTCGGCATACGATTTTGCGAGTATATTCAAATCCCAGTCCGAACTCGTCACTAATTCTGGACAAGACTTAATGATCATCTCAAAACGATGTCGATATTTTGACGTCCAACAGTGATGAACGAATGATTTGCTGCGAAATGTTTTACAATTCAATTTCATCTCTTCGAATGTTTTAAAGAAACTTTTAAGATTGCTTTTTAGTATAACAGCAAATTTCGCGAGATACTGATTTTTTTTATTGTTGACCGCCATGTCAAAGAAGAGCATGATTTTTTCAAAAAACCTCGTTATTTCTCCATATTTGTTTACTATTTCTAATATCTTTCGAAGCAAATTGTGTGCTTCTGTTTGTTGTTCAGACACATTTAGGAAGTCGAAACACATGAAAATGAGGAAAATGTCAAAATTCGAAAGTGCGTTCAAAATTAGCAATTTAGATTCGATCTTTTCTGCTATTTCATCGACAATTTTATCTTTGCGACAATCTAAGACAGAATAAAACAACTGTTTTGCCTTATCGCACTGCTCATCAGGCACTCTTAGAAATTCCTCGCGAACCAAAGTGTAAATCATGTCAAATGACAGTTCATTTCGAATGCCTCTGGTGACTAAGAAATTTTGAAAGTAAAGTCGAAAGAGGATTTTACTGTCAAATGATGACTCTTTGAGGGTAAGAAGAAATTCATTTGCAACATTTTCGTTATGCTTGTCTTCCAACACTTTTATAAGACACTGAATAAAACTTTCGTTCAAAATTCGTTTTTTGTTGAGAAACGCTTTCAAAACTGTCAAAATTCGTTGACTATTGTCAATTTTATCGGCAAATACTGTCAAAAGTTCGCGCATAAAGTCAATATTGACAAGTTTGGTATTAAAGTTCTTTGCGAAAAGATAAAAGAATTGATCAAATTTATCGATATCATCGAAAAATTCTTTTGGCAGTTTTCGAAGTTTGTCCAACACTGAATATTTCACATATGTGTTGAAAATATATTCAAATCTTCTGTCATTGAATTTATTGATCTTAATCGCCTTCGCTTTTAGCATCTTCACAATATCTTCGGCGATTGTTTCGGCCACAAAATATTCTGCAAATGAGCGATGAATGAAGTAAAAAGGCCCGTTTTCGACTTTTCGCACAAAACCTTGAGAAATAAGTTCGGTTTCGTTGAATTTCGGCACCGCACACGTGATTTTATTGTCTAAACGCATTTCTTTCAAACCAAAATATGTGTGAATATATTTAAACTTTCTCAACTTTTCCGCCCTGTTTGTCATTGCAATGTTTGACGTTTCGTCACTTTTCTCTTTGACATATGAATTGTCAAATTGCAAAAGTACAATTTCTGTGTACAATTCCCAAACATTCAACAGATTTCCAACTTCAATTCGTATTCTCGACTGTTTCACGAGATCAATAAACATTTTCAGGAGCATCGGAATTTCGAAATACACACTGAAGGCGCTAAAAGTTGTCCAGTGTTGAAAAATGGCGGGAATTGAATTGTCATCGGGATAAGATTTATTGATGTATTTCTCAATAAAATCCTCAGTTTGCCGCGTTGTGAATTTATTGACTTTAATTCTACTGAAACTAAGTTTTTTTAGGGTTTTAAGACAACTTGTTCGCGATGTCAAAAATATTCTTATTCCTTTTGTCTTCATTTCCGTGATCAATTTCAGCACGAATTCACTGTAAGTCGGATGAATTTCGTCGAAACCATCGAAAAAGAGAATCATTGGAACATTTCTTGACTGTTTCAAGTAGAATTTCAGCAATTTTCTACAGAGATTTCGATTTTGATCTTCTTTGCAGACTAAAAGATGATCAAGAAAGAATTTCTCAGAATCTTCTTTGTTTTTACTTCCTAAATTCAGACTTTTCGTGATTTGATTCAGAAAAATGACAGAAATCCAAAAGTGAGGATTTTCTTCCTTGAATCTCCGTGCCAATTCGATAATCGTCGATGTTTTTCCCATTCCGAAATCCGCATAAAGAAGAATATTTTCTGTATTCTTAAAGAAATATTCTTCCGTATCCAAAAAAATTCGCATGTGTTCTTTTATAAGAAAATTTCTGCAAACGTAAAATTCGTCCTTTTGAAATTTAGCACCGAAATTCAATTTGCCTTTCGTGAGAAATTCTTCGACCAAGTCAACAATGAATTCTTCGAAATCTTGATTTGTTTGTTCGAAAATAATCGATTTGATTGTCGAAAGTTTCACCAAATTGCCTTGAATTGAAATGTCTTTTTCGAAAAGCGCTTCGATGCTCGAATTTTCCAACTCATCAAATTTAGTCTTTCTAATCTTAACGTCACTTTTCTTTTCAACTAATTTTGCCTTTTCTGCGATAATGAAAATCTTTTCGTCTGAAAAAATTCTTGAATTTCTCTCTTGCGTGTCGATGAAAATCACGAGCTTTATTCTATCCAACTTGAGATAATCCTCGAGCTTTTCTCGCACTTGCGAAAGTGGCACGAGAAAAACTTTGGCTTCGGTGGATTTAAGCGCGTGAAAAATCTTCAAAATTGTGAGTTTTGAATTTTCCTCGCACTCAAAAATTCTCTTTCCTTTCAATTTTTCGCGTAAATTGTTAAGAATTTCCTCCTTAAATTGCACTGAAATATCAAATTGCGAGCAAAATGAAGAGCTTTTTGTCATCAATTCGGCTTCTAATTTCGAACTTTCCACGATATTCGCAAGATCTTTCGGATAAATATATTTTCTTAGCGATCTTTTGCTTTTTTTTTCACTGTGATTTTCGATATTTTCTGGGCTGAATATCTTTATGAAATTTAGAATATTTTCCCTTAGAATTCCAGGTAAGAAAGTTGAATAATTCAAGAAAATTTCATTGCATAACTTGTCATTTGTTTTCTTCAAATCGTCCGGCAAATTGGATAAAACAATTGTTTTTCTCAACAATTCATTTGAAACATTCGAGCGATCGCGGAACTTCGAAATTTCAGTTTCTTCTTCTTTGAGAATATCGAAAATGTTACTGAAATATTCGTCAACATTTTCGAAATCATTGGCTTTACTTTGATTTTCGGCGTTCGATTCGATTAATCGATTATTCATCACTAGTATAAAACGTGTTTCGAATTCTTCGAAGTCTTCTCGAAGTTTGCTTTGAAATTCTGGCTTCGAAAATGCGTCGACGAATTGCTGGAAATTCAATTTGTCCCACAATTTCTTGTTCTTCGCTTTTTCCCGGTTCGGCTGCAAGAAGTTCTCAGCAGTCATGAAGTCCTTCGTGTCGCTGTGTTTGGCCTGAATGAAAAACGCCAATTTTCGATCGGGAAAACTCACAACAATGTCGTCGAACTTATCAAATCCCGAAACTTCGTAGCCCAGCTTGAAGTCCGGCAAATTCAGCGCGAAGACTTGAAGGCAAATGAAGAGGAAGATTTCCTGCTGGAATTCCATTCCGTGTTCCGAAGTCGGAAACGATTTGTGACTCAATTCGCGGCTTAGCTCAGTTGTTGACGATGTTTTTGCCTCTGCTTTTCTTCGAAGTTTGCTGATTTTACCAATGTTTTGTCCCTCCAAAGCACTTTTCTTCAATTCCTCCTGATTTCTTTGCTTTTTCATCGCAGCTTGTTTAGATTGGCGCATGAAATCAGTCACAACTGCTTCAGCTTCTCTCAACATCTCAGCATAGCTTAAGCTTTCCAGAGTTTTTGGCGCAATTCTGCTGTTGAGACCGTTTTGAGTGTCTTCGTCCAAATATGTGAAGATCAAATTTCTCTTGAGTTCAGCAATAGTTATTCCATTGACATTGAAGAACTTCTCCTGATGTTCCAACCATTGTCTGAACGATTCTCTGCGTGGATCGAAAACAGTGAGTAGCAGTCTTGGCAGCAATGGCGCTTGAATGTCATCATCAGCAGAAGAACTCGCCCAGCAATTGTCTACAGATTGAGAATAATTTCCTATTGTTAAATAAGAAGTTAAAAAAATATGGATATGTGAATGGTAACTAGCTGAGATTTACAATATTTCTTTTCCGTGGTCAACTCGATTTAGTTAGAAGGAAAGAAAGCATGGAAATTTTCATATGCAATATAAAATCCAACTCCTGAAATTTAATCAGTTATAATTTAGCAGTCTGATGAACTTCTGTTGTTCTAAATAGTCGTAGAGTTTTGCAAGAGCTTTCCAATGAGCTCAAAATCGTTATGATTTGGCGCAAAGAACCGAAGTTATAACGTTTTAAAGTTCAAAACTTTGAACTGATAAAACTCCGGTTCTATTGCATCCACAAAAACTTTAACCTCTTTTTAGAGACGTCTTGACCAGGACTACAACATACTAAAATATTATCTAAACGCATCATCAGGTTGCCGAGATACAGGCGTTCAAAGATTTTTCAACATGGCGGTGTCATCGATGACGTCACAGACTAAAGGTAAATGCAGCCTACTTAAGGGTATTGAGACACGTCTTTTGGCGTAGAGATGATCAAAATCGGTTGGTAAACAGCGGAAATAAAGACCGATCAAGGTGTGAACTTTGACCTTCCATATCTCCGCTTCTAATGAATAGGGCCTCAAAAGTAATGGTTCGTTGGAAAGGTCTTGACCTCAATTACAACATATTGAAATATAAAAAGAAAATTATGATTTTGTTTTCGAGTTATTTGATTTCGAATTTTCGAAAATAGTTTTTTCAATTTTAGCGCCCCTATCGGTGGTTCTACCAAGTTATGCTGTTCGTGTTAAAGATTGCATTTAACGAGTCTGTTGCAATGAATACAAAATCATTCCGATCGGTTAATTAGAAGCGGAGTTATGGCTGTTTAAAGTTTCAAAATTTGAACTCTAATATCTAGGGTTGGGAAGATGCTAGGTTCTTAAGTAACATATCGTTGGAAAGGTCTTGATGTCAGCTATAACATACTAAAATTTGGGATCATTCCATGTCATAGGGGTTGAATAAATGAGAAAAAGTTATTTTTGCAGATGTTCAAAATGGCGGACGGAGGAATGCGGAGTTTGATTTGACAACACCATCTTCTGTCACTCGACAAATTTTGAATAATCGGCTAAAACCACAAGTTGATATCTTTAAACTTTTAGACGCTTCTGACACGATTATGGCGATGAATGCACAGTCAAATTTAGCCTTCCTGAGTCTATCGATTAATCGATTTTGCGAGATTCGATTTTTTGTGCGAAAACAATAACTGATTTCTTTCTATCTTTACCTGAGATTACTTTCTGATTGCGCCACATCTTTCAAGGGAAAACGTCTAATATCTTGCTGTTGGTTTCTTGTATGCTCTGCAAATAATCTTATCAATGCGATTTAAAAACCAATATCGGTTTTCTCATGAAATTTGCTATACTTTATCACACTCAAATCTCTTGTTTTTCGAAATGTAGCTTAATCAAGAGCTTATTAAATGACACTTTTTCAACGAACAAAACTAAGCTGATAAAATCACCATTTTCAGCCTAAAAAAATCTCCATCGAATTTCGTGTAAGAGTGAATCGATCACAATAATTGACAACAACTGACTTTTTTCCAAGTGTTCTTCGGCCTTTTATACAACTGTGAAACGCCGCAATACAGATAATGTCTTACCAAGTTGTTATCTTATCAATCAAGCATGTCAATTTACCTTTCAGACGATTCTTTGCGATTCTTCGTCGAATTTCAACACCGATTAATGGGCTAAGAGGAAAAATTTAACGTTATTCCAATATTCAAACATGTGATGTTTCGTTTGTGTTTCGCAAGTAGAAAATTCAAATGAAACAAAGTTAGCTGAAACACAAATTTCGCGCAATTAATTGAACAATAAATTGAAATTTCAACGAAGAATTTTATTATCGCGTAACTTCAGGTAATATCAATTTTTGATCCTTTGCCCGTGGTGAATTCAGATGAAAGGACAAAAGGACTTCTTCGACAGATTACTTCCTAATTAGAAGAAACCGAAGAATCCGAAGACATTGATGGTTCCGCCATGTTCTTCACGGCCTGCTTCTTGGACTTCTTGGAGCGTTTGTCGCTCACATTCTTTTTCTTCCTCCTCCCCATCAGATGATTCAATCCAGAGATTTGTTTCCAGAACTCTTAATGCTACACAGAAGAATTTGTGGTGCAGAGAAAAACAACAGAGAAAATATTACGGTATTTTCGATATTCTCAGAATTCGCATTCCGGAAACATCGAAAAGAAAAAATCGCTTCGCGCCTTTTATGGTTTTCTGCTGATAAAACACCATGATTTGCACAAATTTCACTCACATCGTAGACTCGTCTTCGCAGTTTATCGATTTGAGAGTAAAAGTGGTCTTTTCTTTTCGTATTTCCAGAGGAAAATGTGAAATAATCAGGAGGAAAAATATTCTTTCACACCAGATTTTAAACGGTGAATTCGGTTAAATGTCATGACATTTGCGCGCGCGCGCGCTGACATGTCACTTGACTGGCATGTCAGTCACCCAGCTGGTTTTGTCACATTGACAGCACATTTCCTCGCGTTTCCTCCGCGGAGATTTCCTCAACAAACCTCTTTCCCCACAAGAGCGGCTCTCAGAGTCTTTGCGCCTCTGTCCGCGGGAACATCATCAAGTCACCCACGCAGAGAGACACCCATCGAAGCGCCCCCCAAAAGTGTGTCACGCGCGTGAGTGAAAGTGTCTCGTTTTGGGGGAGAAAATGAAAGTATGAAGTGAAGAAGTGCGCGCGAAGATCAATGAACTCTTTTGTAAATAGTCAAGAGATCCATGTGAAAAGTGCTGCAATGGACACAGGACATCTTATTGTTCCACAAGGTGTGCAAACCCACACAGGATGCATTGGAGTGAAACATCACGGAAATGACGCATGTTTTCCATTCTCTTTTGCAGACAATGACAGCAAGGCTGCAGCAAATCCTCTGCTTTTCCTCAATTCCACCGCACAAATGCATCCGGAAGACAACACAGCATCTCAGTGAGTATTCACCACATCTGCTGACCCACATTAACACACTCCCGGACGCCGTGGGGCGCCTGTCAAGCTGCTCAAATGCACCCTCACTCCCCGCTTTCCGCGCTTATCGTGCCAGCGAAAAGCGCGACAACGACGACGATAAAGATGTCTTGTTTCAGCTGTTTCTTGTCACAAAACGTCTTATCAAACACCACCGTCAAATCAGTCAAGGAGTACATTGTATTGTAGTAATCAATTAGAGACTTGGCTGCGATGGAATTGATGGCAATATTTCACATATTATCATCACTCTGAAAAAGTGATTGAAATTCGCGACCGCGCGCGTGATAACGCCGGGAGGTAGGCAAAGCAGGCAGTGCGCGTGAGTCATTTGGCGGGCATTTCGTGCTCATTTGAAATTCCCACCTTGAGAATGAGCGGATTTGGAGACTTTTCACCTGCCTTCGGGGCAAAACTCGCACTCTCACCATCCCAAAGGCGGCAATTGTGTTAGTCATCAGTAGTTTTCTAGACTTTCATGACATTTGATAAGTTTTCTGATGACATAATGACAGTTTTTATACTGTAAAATTCGCAATTCTATATTTTATTTCGCTTTTCAAGTGTATAAAATAGGTTAATATTTCTTTTTGCAGCATATTGAGTCCTTAAATGTCTTTTACAAAGTTGATTCTTTTCTCCAATTTGCATTTTAAAAGTAAATTTTACCTTCAAACTGTGATAAAAAAGGCATAAAAACCATTTTGTAATTTGAAATTTTGAATTTTGAGGTTATGTTTGCCACTTTTGATGCAAATCGCTGAAAATTGTGGAAATTGACAAATAATCAGTATATTTTTCAGTCAAAGTATATAAATTTACTAAAAACTAAGAAAAAGGGAAAAATTCTCACATCCCAAAGCGTGCTAGGAGACAATTTTGAGGTTATGTATACCACTTTTGAGGTAAATGGCGACTGGAGTGGCAAAAAGCTGTGAAATTGGTCCTTATGGACAAAGAAAACACATTCGTGACAAATTTACCTGACGAAATTACTGTGAAAAATGTGAAAAGTGCAAAAATTCTCCACTCGATCTGTCATTTCTGTCATTTTTATGTCACTTTTCGCCTAATTTTCGTAAGAATCACGCTAAATCTCATTTAAAAGCTAGAAGAGGTTCGAATAAAGATTGTATGAGACATTTGAAGCATAATTTCTTCGTCTAGCTTTGACATCTGTCATCTGGCCACGCTGTCCACTTGACAAGTGTGTTTCGGGAGTTCATTTTTGATTTATCGTGAGTTAAAACTGAACTAATTAAGCTTGTTTTGGTGCTTTTTGCGGGGCCACAAAGTGCTTTCTATTTCGGAAAAATAGCCGCGAAAAATTCTGCACTCGAACTGTCATTTCTGTCATTTTTATGTCACTTTTCACCTAATTTTCACACAAAAAAAACACGATAAATCGCACTTAAACGCTAGAAGAGGTTCAAGAAAGGGTTGGATGGGAAATAAAGCGTAATTTCATAGGGAAAGTACGAGGACATTTGTGGAATGTCGTAGGAAATGTCATACATAATCTTTTTCGCGATAAATCTAATCAAATCAAATTATTTATCCAACTTATGATAAATGAAGATGATTGATTTTTCGCGCATCCACTCAATTTTCACGTTCAAGTAGCTTTGACAGCGCTTTGACATTTTATATGTCATCTGGCCACATTGATCAGTTGACAAGTGCTTTTTGGAGGTGCATTTTGGGGTTTATCGTGATTTTATTGTGCCAAAATGAAAGCTGTTTTTTTCATTAAGTTAATTATTCCCTTCGTCTGTCCGTGGGGAGAGCATTCAGCGAAGCGTTGTGCCTTTTGACGCCTTTCGCGTTCTCTACTATTTTGCACTCCATTCACTGATTCTCTCCAGTTGAGCGCCAGCGTCACACACGCGCGCAGTGTTGTTTGTGAGCCTGTGTGGATCAGATGGTCTGCGACGGAGTGCAGAGTGGTGACTGTTGGTTGGGTGTTGTGTGCAGAGAAGTGACTGTCGATGGAAAAAGAGAGTCCATCGCGCGCCAAATATAAATCCCGTTCAATTTGTCCAAAAGAAAAGAAGAAGAAGAAGAAGAAAAAGTATCAAACACACATTTTTATCGTTCAAGTTCAGTGAGAGAAAAAACGCACAAATCTTTTGGTGATCTTTTTATTGTGAATGTTGTGTTTGTTGTCTTGTGATTTTCCACACTTGTGAGAATGAATTTCACGAAGTTCAAGGAGAATTTTCGCTACTCACGCCTTTCGGATGAAGATCAGAGGTAAAGAGGGATTTTCCCACTTCCGCTGCGGTGTTTTTTTTTCTCTCTTTTCTTTTTCTTTTCTTTAATGAGCGTGAAATTGAACTCAAACACACTTAGAATGCGATCAAGGACTTGCTTGATTTCCATGCTGGAATGCTTCTTTTCCTCCGTGCGAAGCGAGGGTTGCTCAAGTTGGAGAAAAGTGGCTTCAATTCTTTTGATTTCTTTATATATTCCAATCCATTCCATCTATTCCATTCCATTCCTTGAATATTCTTTCGAATAATTACAAAATACTCCCAAATTGAACTTCGAATTTATCGCAATCGTCTTAGACAGGAAAGACTTTTGCACAAAATTCAATTTAGCAGAAGATCTTGAAGTGTCGCGGGTTCGATTCTCCTTCAGTTCTGATTTTTTTCATTTCTGTTTAATTTTTCCAGGATTTTCCTTCACTTTCTAGTGTTTTTATCAGCATTTTTTGCTCAATTTCTTCAAGAATTATCTCTAATAACCTCAATTTGATGCTCGAAATTGCTTTTCTCTCAGAGAGAGAAATTTTTCCCACTCTTTTTACCACTTTTATGTTAATTCTAGGTCTTAAAAATGGTCAAAAGAATTCTTTTCGAAGCCCAAAATGTAATTTTCCACTAAAAGTCGCTTGGAAAGCTGTTAATATCGCATTTTACGTAATTTTCCATCGCAGACTTTCCGTCATGAGTTCAAATCCAGCTCACGACAAATTTTTTTTCACATATTTTCCTGTTTTGACCTTTTTTCATGCCACAATTTAACCAATTTGGCTAATTTTGGGGTGTTTAAATGCTTTTATTTATGTTATTTGTGAAGGAAAAGAATAAAAAATCGGAATACTTTAAATTCTCATTCTTTAATCTCAAGTTAACAATTCATTTCATGGAATTTTTCACTTAAATTTCCATCCATTCCTGGAATATTCTTTAGTATTCGGACTGAAACAGCTAAGAAAATGATTAAATTCATTCCTCAACTTGAGCAACCCTTGGTGCGAAGGCATTTCTTCATTGAGGGATATTTTCATTGATGCGTCGCCACCCACGATTCTCAGGCATTCCACCCACGCCTCGAGAGGGTGGTTTGGCGTGTGGGTGGCGAGGCGTGATGGAATGCTTGAGAATCCATCAATTTCCCACCTCAATTATGACACCAAATTGTCTCTCTCTCTTTTACAATTTGACCGACAATCAAGGAAATATGCTGTAAAGCACGATTTTCTTATCACTCCAATTCGACGGTTATTTTGTTTGTAATGTCGCGATAGTCGCAAGAAGAACAAATATGTTGGAAATTAGGTGCAAGGGAGGAATATTAAGTGGGAAATGGTGTACAGAAGTGTTAGGAAAAGTGGAAGTGTTGAAAAACCTTCAATATTTCAATCCTGAGTGCTTCTTTTACTGACAAATCATCCAGATTCTCTGAATTTCCTTTGATTTTCACGCAGAAACAAACGAAATAATCATTTTCCTAGGTTATGTAACGAATCAAGAAGAGATTTAGTCAATAATTCGCATTCTAGCACATAAATTCTACCAATCAGTGACAGAATTTAGCATTTGCAAGCATTAAACAGTGTTTTTTTTTATCCTTTAATGCTAAGAAACACTGAAAATTGTGTTAAAATTCAACATAACCTCAAAAAACAGTCATTTGAACTTGAAAAGTGTTCATTTAAGAAACACTTCTGCACGATTTTGACTCAGAATCAGCACTAATCCAATGATTTAGTCTCTGATTTAGATCTAAAAACCTTCTTAAAGGGAATTTTTGAAGATTTCTGGATTTTATTTTGAGGTTATGATCAAAAAAGATGTCTAAAAGTGATTGTTTTTAAATTGAATTCTTGCAAATGAACAGAATTAAGCATTTGCAATCAATTAAAAGTGCTTTTTTTTATTGTTTAATGCCAAGAAACACTGAAAATTGTGCTAAGATTGAACATAACCTCAAAAAAATGACATTTGAACAGCATTCTAGACCATTTTCACAGAGAATCAGCAGTTTTAAGTCTGTTGGCAAATCAAAAGTGTTGATTTTGTGCTTAAGAAAGCTTCAAAACGGAGTTTTTAAAGATTTCTAAGTGATATTTTTGAGGTTATAATCGAAAAAATACTCAAAAAAGTGCTTCAAAATCGATTCATATGGAATTATCAAATGGAAATTCAATACGAAAGTTTTCTTTCCCTTCAATTGGACTCTTTTGATGCCAAGAAACACTGAAAATTGTGTTAAGTTCATACATAACCTCAAAAATTGTCATTAAAACTTGAAAAATGACAATTTAGACAACTTTCGAGACAATTTTGACTGAGAATCAGCAATTTAAGGATCATTTTAAGCTTTCGAAAAGACTTTTTGAAAATATTTTAGTGATATTTTTGAGGTTATGGTCGGAATAGATTGTTAAAAATGCGTTTTAAGGTCATTTCTTAGGATTTTTGCAGAAATATCTTTGAATTTCCTTCGATTTTCACGCAGAAACAAACGTAATAATTTTTTTCTAGGTTATGTAGACGAATTAAGAACAGATTTAGTGAATAATTCGCATTTTAGCACATAAATTCTTATGCTAAAGTCACCAAGCTCGCCAGTTATTGGCCAAAAATAAGCATTTGCAAGCAATTTACAGTACTTTTTAAATCTTTTTATGTCAAGAAATACGTCAAATTGTACTAAAATTGAACATAACCTCAAAATTGGTCATTCAGACACTTTCAAAATGTGTCTTTAGACAACTTTGTGGACAATTTTCACGGAGAATCCAGTAATTTGAAGATCATTGGCACATTTTGAAGATCTTTTAGTGACATTTTGAGGTTATGTTTGGAAAAAAAGAAACACAAAAAGCGGTTTAAAGTGAATTTTGACACAAATATCACATGAAAACTTAATACAACAGAATTTTTCGCTTGAATTGAACATTTTTGATGTCAAGAAATACTGTAAATTGTGCAAAGATTTAACATAACCTCAAAAATAGTCATTTAGACTTGGAAAATGTTCATTTAGACAACTTTCCGGGCATTTTTGACTCTGAATCAGCCATTTTCAGTTCATTGGCGAATCATAAAAGATGATTTTGTGATCTAGAAAGCTTCCACAACAGCAAAAAGCTGAAAGCATTCGAGGCCCTCCACATCTTCTTATCGGGACATAGAAATGTCAATAAGACGGAAGATTGTGCTGACGTTAGCATGATCTGTGTTCAGGAGAAGAAAAGGAATTTGAGCTAAAAAGGCCATTTCTGTCAGCTTACATAAAAAGAAAGCTTCCAAACTGAGTCTTTTGATGATCTTTTAATGACATTTTGAGGTTATGGTTGGAAAAGATATCCAAAAGACGATTTTAAGTGGTTTCTTACAGAATTATCGAATGGAAACTAAATACAACACAATCTTTCCCTTCAAATTAACTCCTTTGATGTCAAAAAATACTTTAAATTGTGTTAATATCAAACATAACCTCCAAATTTTTTTTAATTTAGACTTAGAAAATGTCCAATTTAGACAACTTTCTGGACAATTTTGACTGTGAATTAGTAATTTAAAGATCATTGGCGAATCATAAAAGATGATTTTGCTATCTAGACAGCTTTTAAAATGAGTTTTTGAGGTTATGATCGGGAAAAAACACCACGAGATGATTTAACCACGAGAAATCAAGTACGCTTTGATGCGAAAACATCGTAGTGACATTTACAATGACGTTAATTGATTGATTTTTTGAGTTTAGTCAAACATAACCTCAAAAAAAATCAAAATTCACTGGGAAAAAAGGTATTTTTGAATAGTTTTCCTACGTTTTTACAATTTACAGTCTTTGAAATGTTTAATTTGGAGGAAAGAAAGACTGTTTTCAAAGACAAAGAAGTGGTGTACAAATGATTACCTGATCATCTCTGCCTTGTTGACAGTTTTGGAGTGTGTTTCAAGACGGCAAAAGCGAAGTGGACTTTCTGTGTGTGTGAATTCAATTGAAAGTGTGTATGATGAAAAGTGAGCAAAGAAGAAATTACTTTGAGAGCGCGATGCAGACGAGGAAAGCTTCTCGAAGTGGGTCTCAAGAGACACACAATGCCTCGAAGTGGTTGGACAAGAAAGAGAGGGAAAATTCACGCGCTCACATATTTTTTTACCATCGCGCACTCTGACTCAATATGTGCTAATAAGTTATCTTGTATTTTTACAGTCAAATAGAGAATCTCAGATGATTATAATGAGCTTTCAATTGCGTGATTGAGCAAATGTTGTCTGTGTGTGTGTGAATAAAATGAGAGGGAAATTATGTGCGGAACTGTCAAATTGTGAGATTTTTTTCTTGAAGATTCCATGGGAATCATTGACTCTTCCGCGCAGTCAAAATCTCACAATTTGACTTGCTCTCGCCTGAAGAATCTTTCAATACCGGTTTTTTGGATTAATTTATTGTGAATTCTGACTGCAAAGCAGCATAGAATGTTGAGCTGAGCAAAACCCGGTACTTTCTGTAATCGCGCATAAAATCAAATGTCGCAAAATCGACTAAAATGACATCAGGGAGGCTAAATTATGACGAAATCTGACCATCTGTCCGTCCGTCCGTCGGTCCGTAAGAGATATCGACATGCGATTTTCACCAAAAGTCAAAAATCCTACTGCCGCTAGAATTTGGTGATGTCAAATTAAACCCCCCACTCTTCCTTCCGCCATTTTGAACACCCCCAAAAAAACGTTTTACTCATTTACTCAGTCCCTAAGGCATCGATTGGGTCCAAATTCTAGTATGTTATAGCTGGCCTTAAGACCTTTCCAACGAACCTCCACCTAAGAACCTAGCACCTCCCCAACCCTAGATATTAGAGTTCAAATTTTGAAACTTTAAAAAGCCATAACTCCGCTTCTACTTCACCGATCTGAATAATTCAAAGCTCATTAGAAAGATCTCATAAAATGCAATCTTTTACCCAAACATCATAACTCAGTAGGACCACCGCTAGAGGCGCT